AAAGAAGCCAGCCCGGTTCCTCCTTTAGCAGCCCAGGAAGCCTTCAAAGGGGCTGTGCCGCCAAGTGCTCTGAGCTGCAGACGAAGATCTCCGAGTCAGGACGATCCAGCTCTTCTTGTCCGCATTACACAGCGCTGTGCCCCTCGCTCCTCCGGGAGGCTTCGCTTTCTCCTGGGATCGCCCAGAGGCCTCCCATCCAAGCATTCAGCAATCCCGACTCTGCCTGGCTTCCCGAGCTGGGCTGGAGCCGCCACCGTCGGCCTGGGCTCCCTACTCGCTGGCTCTCTCGCAAGCCGCTTCTGGTGAGGAAAACCCTCTGCGGACGCTCGGTCCAACTAAGCACAGCCGGTGCCCAAGCCGAGCGCTCGCAGCCACCCAAAGGCCCCCAAACCGCAACGCGGTCGCTATGGCGACGGCGCACTTTCCTCCCCCCCCCCGTCGACAACAGTCGCGGCTCCCGTGGCCCCCCTCCCCCCCCCGGCGCCTCCCTTTCCTCACTTGCTTTTCAAGTTAGCCGACGAGCTCGAGACCGCCATCCTCGAGCCCCGGCTCGGTCGCTCCGCGGTTCCAGTCCCCTCGCCTGGACGCCCGGAAGACCTCCACGTGCTTCCGGGAAAATGCGTCTACTTCCGGCGCGTCGCCGTGGCGCAAGCAAAGCATAGAGGGACGAAAACGTGGAGAGGGGCGCACTGAGGCGCGAAAGGGCAGCTTCCTGCTCCCTCTCGCAAGTCGCCCTTCGCGGAGGCGACACGCGCAAGCGCAACTTCCCCAACACCGCCGGGAGCAGCAGGGCCGGCTGGTAGCGGTGGGGGGGGGGAGAAGGTCCTTTTTCATTCGGAGGACCAATTCCTGGGCAGACTCACGACTCTTCCGTTCCCTTTTTCCTGGCAGAGGGAGAGGTGGTGAGTTGCCATGGCTCCTTCCAGGGCTTGACTTGTGGGGTCCCTGGAAATCTCTTGAGCTTCTTTTCTTGCATAGGTGTCATTGCTCACCTGGGCAACGCCGTCAGTGCTACAAAGGAGCAGTTTGTTCTCATTCTATACCCCATTGGCTTGCTTTGTCAGCATTGGTGGGAGGGTTCTTGGCGGCTCTTTGGTTGAACTGCTTGCCTGAGTTTCCATACTTCTTGGATTGGGGCATTGTTTACTGCTTGATTGTGGTCTAGTGTTAATCCCTTCCAGCACCGAGGTTAATTCACTGGGTAATGAAACCTCTGCAAGAAAACAACCAGTTCAACCCTGAACTACAAATATTCCCAGTGGCTTGACTTGTCAGACTGGCCTTCCGTCACAGAGTTTCTGGGTAACTGGGTTTCTAGCCCTAACCCATCCAAAGGCTAACCAGGGTTATCCCGATAAACTTTGCAAACCTAACCAATAGAGCTGAATATGCTTCTGATACATCTAGCTGGCTGTCCTTCAAATCAGTGGTTGAATATACATATGTATGCACACAAACACAAACCTTAATTGGAGGGGGAAAATGTATATCTTTTGCTGATAAGAGCCATGAGGCCACATCAAACCCCTCCCCCCCAACCTCAAGGCAGAAATGTTCTGGCCTACCCATTCTTGTAATTGAAAATTAATGGAAAAAGGAGTTTTGCATCAGTTAGGCTTTGTTATTGTTCTTAATTTTCATAGTGAAGTGGAACATGGCAGCTGCTTGGTATACATACATTGGGATATTACATAAGCTCAAGAACTAGATAAATAATTCACAAACAAAACATATATACATCACAAAAATGTTTATTTTATAAATCAAAAAACCTTGCAAATGTTAAGTCTCCTCACAAATACATTTTCATTCCTTTGGAGGAAAGGCTATAGTTAATATAAAATCATATATATTCCTCTGCCAACTAATCAATATGCACAACAGCTTGGCACATCTAAATAGCAATAGCACTTAGACTTCACAGTGCTTTCCAGCCCTCTGTAAGGGGTTTACGGAGTCATCACATTGCCCCCAACAATCTGGGTCCTCATTTTATCAACCTCGGAAGGCTGAGTCAATGGTGGTCCGTGAGAAAATTTGGTGGTCCACAGAAAAATTATTTGCATTTTTTATATTGCACTAAATACTATTTATCTTTTTTAAAAAATCATATTACTGGTCCGTGGGATTTAAAATTATGAATGTAGTGGTCCCTGAGGTCCAAAAGGTTGGTGACCCCTGCTCTAAATGTTGAGTCTCCTCCAATAGTTGTGGGGAAGGGAACACACCTTCTTCCAGAGGTATGTAGTTAAGATCTTGCAGCATATACGTCTTCAAAGTGTATCTTCCTCTGCAGCATCTGTTGAGAAAAATGTATGTTAGTATTTTGAATCTTAATTTTGAATCTTATTTCAACCATGTTGTATTTTCATGAGATATAGGAGCCTGGGTTTTATTGGCCAAAGACTGTGCTTAAGGCAATAAGCTTACTGCTCCTTTTTGCTTTGGGCACAGTTATCTTATCCAAGGCCACAAAGGAAGCCAAGGACTATTTTCAGACAGTGCCCTAAAACCCCAGAAGTCATAGTATTACAATGCAAAGCAGCTTCTTTTAACAGCTGAAAAGTTTCTAACACAAACTTCCAGCATTCCAAATTCAGCCTTGAGCGAACTCCCAGCCGAGGGTTCTCTCTTGAGCAAACCAAGATAAACTCTACATTAGAAACTTGTACATAAGCAGAAAACACCCTACAATGTCCAACAGCTGCTAGCCAATAGCCAGCAAAGTGGTGGAACTGGGGCATGGAATGTTGTTAGTACGGATCATGGTAGTGCAACTACACCTATTGAACAGAATGTAAGCTTGCCACCTACTCTATTTCAGAGATCTGTTTGTTACATAATTTTAAAAGAATGTTCCCTTTCAAGTTACAATCCCTTTATAGGGATGAAGGATAATATTGTCCATAAATGCAAAAGGCAATTTTAATTGCACTTGCCATCTGTATATGCTGTATACATCTCTGGTGTCAGCATGCGAGGAACCCATCTTGCACAAACCTTCCGATACTGAAGAATATCAATAATGTGTCCCACACGTTCCTGTGAAATGCCAAGTTTGGCAGCAATTTCTCTTTGCGTGATCTGCCGATTGTCCTTGATCAGTTCATCAACCTTTTTCACATGAAACTGATCAGTGGCCGTCACTGGTCTTCCACTGCGTTCTTGATCACATAAATCAGTTCTTCCTGGTTTACCACCTTTACATTTTTTGGCCCAGCGACGCACAGTACTCACATCCACACAATCATCACCATAAACAGCAAGCATTTGGCGGTGAATTTCAATTGGGGGAACTCCTTCAGCAGTCAAAAATTCAATCACCGCACGTTGTTTAAAGCGTACTGAGGAATATTCAGTGAAGGCTTCCATTTCACAAGCAATGGCAACACCACCTTTCCTCACAGCAACTTCCCACCAACGGAGGTGAAAGAACAGATGCTAAAGAATATATCGGGGCTTCTAACACAGGACTGGATTTGGGAGGCATCCCTTTTCATTCAACCCTCGTGGTACCCAACACAACAACATCCATCAGCTCTAGCTGCAGCAACCACCGGTCTTGATTATGTCGTAGGCTTGCCATCCACTCTATTTCAGGAACCTGTTACATAAAATTGAAAGGGAGGGTTTCTTTTTCAAAGTATCAAAAATGCAGCTTGCTCTTTTTATAGGTGAAGGACAACATAATGCTAAAGGTAGTTTCAACTACACTTCCCACCTGTATCATTTGCAAAAGTGCAAAAATCACGCAAGTTATTTTGAAGAGGGCAGCATTTCAGGATTGCTTTTTTAAAAGAAAAGTGCAGAATAAGATATTCGGCAGAAGCGACACAACCAGTCACCACGTGGAACAGACGAACCCAGCCACACCAAAAGAGCCTTTATTAAGACAAGCTGCGTCTGATGTGGCCGTGAATTTCCAGAGGCAGCAAACAGAGGCTTAAGCAATTCCTTTGCAACAGGACCAAAGTGCACCGCTCACCGGGCATTATACAAACCACCCGCGCCGGCCAAGGCTGAACCCACCGACGACCTCAAGCACAGGCGGCGGCACCTCTTACCTTCCCGGAAAACGCGCGCCAAGCCCGCCCGCCGCCGCTCCTTTTATAGCCTTGGTGTTCTAATCCGTGCTCGATCCCGGGCGTTTTAATTCATGCTCGATCCGGCCAAGAGCGCGGCGCGGAGCGAGCGTCTGTGCGCCTGCGCGATCGGTTTAGGAAGTAGGGAAATAGGACCTCGCGCACGCGCTTTGAGAGATAACGGATCTCGCGAGAGGAGCCGACATTAAATACCCCTCCCCGCGCGCGTTCGGCCTTCTATTCTATCGCACGTAAGTAGCTGCCGGTGCTGTTCGCGGCGGTATCCGCCGCCATCACTTTCGGGGGGGGCCGCGGCGCTGGGTCCGGTTCTGGGGAGCGGCTAGGAAGGTTCTCCGTCCTCCAGAGAGCAGGGGTTTTTTTTTGGGGGGAGGTGGTCCCCGCTTTCGACGAGGACGGACGGCAGCGGGAATCCGCTGTGAAGGAACCCGGAAGTCGTGCGGCTCCGCTGCTCGGGAGCTCGTGCCGCGCACGTGGCTCCAGTAGCCGGGCGCGCGAATCGGCGGGAGGGAGGGAGGGAGGGAGGGAGATGCGTCAGGAGGGGGAGGTTTCGGGCGGGAGGGAGGCTGCTTGGGGTCAGGTGCCCTTCCCCCCTCAGAGCGTTTCTGCGCTGGGCCCATTGGCCCCAGAAGAGCCCCCGAGAGCGCCTGAGCGGCCCTCCGCCCTGTGCCGTCCGGCTTGCGGGGCCCCCATCCCCCCCTTCCCGCTGGCCTTCCTAGGGCTTGCTTCGTTCTCCGCTTGCTTTAGGGCCGCTTCAGGCTGGAAATGGGACTTGGAGCCCGGCTCTGGCTTTCTTTCCGTCCGGTTTTTCTGCGTGGTCGTTTTTGCCTTCTGCGGCACCCGTAGCCTGTGTGTTCTGAAATAATTCATACGGTTGCAAATGTAACCCCCCCCCTCTAGCAAATGGCGGATGACGCCGGTGCTGCGGGAGGGGCAGGAGGAGGAGGAGCAGGAGGAGGAGGAGGAGCTGCTGCCGCCGCCGCCAGAGGAGGCTTCCGAGGTGGCTTCGGCAGTGGAGGCCGGGGCCGTGGAAGAGGTCGGGGCCGTGGTCGGGGCCGTGGTCGCGGGGCTCGAGGCAAAGCTGAGGACAAAGAAGTGAGTAGAATTACCCTGGTACCCTTTTTGAAGTCGGGAGAAAATGTGCTGTATTTTCATTGAAACAAATGGAAATGGCTTTTCTAGATGTAGTTCCAGGCATGCCATTCTCTGGTAATAAATAAAAGATTTTAGGAAAGCTGATTATGTTTTCATTTTTATTAGGATTGAATAAATCAAAGTCAGAATACTTAACTGAAATGGGCAACCAACAAATCTAATAAAGCAAGCCAGCCCTCTGGATGTATGCACTGGTCTGTTTCAAGCCAGACAGAACTCAGCAGAGGCCACTATAGTTAGAGAACCTTTAGTTATGTTAATACATTTTTCTCCATTTATGACAGTTACAGAAATTAAACCTTCCGATTGATTCCTGTAGAACAGAACTGGACTTTGCTCTCTGGGGTCAAGGGCAACATATAATTGGGTGTCGGCTGCATAACAAAGAAAACATGCAAATAGGAAGGAAGGGGATGGATTGTTAAAATGCATACCATCCTCCAAGTACCATGTACTATCTTGTTAAAATTGTAACTGCTCCAACTGGTTGCCTTTTATATATGAAACTTACATTGAGTTCTTTAATAGACTCATTTCTATTTTTGCAGTGGATGCCTGTGACGAAACTAGGCCGACTGGTAAAGGACATGAAGATCAAATCTCTGGAAGAGATCTACCTTTTCTCTCTTCCAATCAAGGTATTACTCTTAAAAACTTGGAGAACTCATTACTTTCTCAGAGGATAACAGATAGCTGCAGGGATGGGGACAGGGTAAGCTCAATTGTGTAATAACCCAGTAAAATTGGTGAGACAATCCAGACAAAATTTGAAAGAAATTGTTCTCTTTAAGTTATTATTGCATGGTGTATTATTAATTTTGAGTTTTAAAAGGAGCTAGAGAAAATCCATTTTAGTGAGAGCTTGTTTGGCACTCAATTAAAAGCTGCAGATCAACTTCTAGTCCTACCTTAATTTTGAAAATCATCTGGATCACTTGCCCAGTTACTTTCAGCCCTAGGAAGAACCTACTGGCAGGCCACTCCCAAAAATATTGCAAAGAAAATTGTATCTACTTGTTCTGGGGGTCTGCAGAAACCAGGATTGACTTGTCAACCAAGTCAACAATGAAGAGAGTTGATGTTATTGTGAAATTTCTTGCAGTATAGAGAGGTAGTTTATCGTTTATTGATTTTTCAGGAGTCTGAAATCATTGACTTCTTCCTGGGTTCCTCGCTGAAGGATGAGGTTTTGAAAATCATGCCAGTGCAGAAGCAAACACGGGCAGGCCAGCGCACCAGGTTCAAGGTAACCTCAGCTGCATTTTGCTTCCTGTGCTTGGGAGGTGTAGTTTCTATGGCAATAGAAATTCCTGATGTAACTTATAGCTAAACCATCCTCCTTTTTTCTTGGTATGTTTACTTGTTAAAGCAGACTTCCCAATCTGGGATTCATTTGTTTCAAGTTGGGAAAGTAAGCAAACTTTACATTGAAAGTTTGTTCAATGTAAAGAATGAACTTTTCCTGATATCTGAAGGAACTGAATATCTGAAGGATATTCTGAAGGAGCAGACGTGGTTTTGGAACCACTGAATCATATCTTTTAAAAATCCTGAAGCACCGGAGGACTGGAATTAGCAAAAGAAAAGTGCTCCAGAATTCCAAAACCATCATGCCAGACAAACCTTATTGCATTCTTGCTGTATACATGGTATACTTCAATAAGTATTTCACAGTAGATCACAATCTACTTCTTGTTAAGATAGAACAATGTGAGATAGACAGCTTCACCATCAGAGGGATTCGTAACTGGCTGACCACCCGCATTCAGCATGTGGTCCTCAATGGAACTATATTGACCTGGAGGGAAGCATGCAGCGGGGTATTCCAAGGCTCTGTCTTAGGCCCAGTACTCATCTTCATAAATTATCTAGATGAGGAGATAGAAGGGGAACAATCAGAATCAAAAATGCAGATAAAAACCAACCTGGAGGAAATAGCAAATCCATTAGGTTCAGAAGGACCTTGGCAGACTTGAGCAGTGGGCCCTACCAACAAAATGCAGTTCAGTGAAAGGTAAGGTTTTGCCCTTAAGCAAGAAAAACCAAATGCACAGTATAGAATGGATAGTACCTGATTCAACAGCAGAGAGAGAGATCTAGGAGTCCTAGTGGACAAACAAATGTAGGCCAGCAGTGGGTTGCAGCCGTCAGAAAAGCCAATGCAATCCTATCAACAGAGGGATAGAATCAAGATCGTGTGAATTGTTATACTGCACTGGTAAGACCACACTCGGAATGTTGCATTCAGTGATTGAATGCTCTTTTTGTACTCAAAAAGATGTTGAGTCTCTAGAAAGAGTGCAGGGCAGAGCAACAAAGCTGATTAAAGGACTGGAGGATAAAGCGTACAACGAATAGTTGTGGGAACTGGGTATTTCTAGTCCAACAAAGAAAAGGACTAAGGTAACATGGTAGTCCTCCAGTACTTGAGGGGCTGTCACAGAGAAGAGGGGCTTGACCTGTTCTCCAAAGCACCCGAGGGCAGAACAAGGACTAATGGATGGAAGCATAACAGATCCAACCTAGAATTAAGGCGGCATTCCCTTTCAGTGAGAACAGTCAGTGAACTGCTCACTTTCAGTGAACAGTCAGGCAGGGCCTGCAGGATGGCGGTGGCCTTGGGCTGTGGAATTGGGGTGGCTGGCCACAGCTTGGGGTGCCCCTGGGCTGACATAGAGCCCTGGGAGCAACAGTGGAGAGCTGAGACTGCTGAAAGCCTCAGCCTCTACGTCAGCCCCAGCGCCACTGCTGGAAGAGGCCGTGCGCAAAGTAGCCAAAAGGGCAAGGAGAAGGAAGGAGATTGGGCAGGGCCTGAAACACCCCTTTGGCTGGAAACGTGGGTGAGTTGTCAAGTACCTGAATTCTGACCACAAGGACACTGCTGTGCCCATAACTTGGGGGCCAGGGTAAGCCTCATTCTTTCATGCTGCTTGAATTTCAAATGGTTGCTGAATGAATGGTCATAACCCGAGGACTGCCTGTGATAAACTGTGCTCAGTATCAGGTTTTTTGGCCAGGTGTTTGCAGAGTTCAAGTTGGGCTGGCTGTCAGGGTGGTTGGTGCCTTTGTGTGTATTTATGGCAACGGGTGTTTGCATTTCTGGTGTGGAATTATGGGTTATCTCTTTTTCTCCTTAGGCCTTTGTTGCAATTGGGGATTACAATGGTCATGTTGGTCTCGGGGTCAAGTGCTCTAAAGAAGTTGCCACGGCCATTCGTGGGGCCATCATCCTGGCGAAACTCTCCATCGTGCCAGTGAGGCGAGGCTATTGGGGAAACAAGATTGGCAAGCCTCACACTGTGCCGTGCAAGGTAACACTTCTAGTTTTGTGGAGCTTTTGCATTGGCTGAATAGCAAGAGCACTTAGACTTCTATACCGCTTCGCAGTGTTTTATAGCCCTACTGCCGCCGCCCCCCCCCCCAACACAATCTGGGTCCTCATGAACTACTTTACTATGTGAACCTCTTGTCTGGTTTGCATTTGTAGGTGACAGGCCGGTGTGGGTCCGTCCTGGTTCGCCTCATTCCTGCCCCACGTGGCACAGGGATTGTGTCTGCCCCCGTTCCCAAGAAGCTCCTGATGATGGCGGGAATCGATGACTGCTACACCTCAGCCAGGGGCTGCACTGCTACCTTGGGGAATTTTGGTACGTCTTGGTGGATCTGAAGTAAATGGGTGTAATTTGGGAAATGGCAACCTTGTGCCACAGAATTCTTAGCTTGCCAGTAGCTTATTTATTTACCATATTTTTCGGAGAATAAGACACACCTTTCCCCCCCCCAAAAAAGAGGGTGAAAATCTGACTGCATTTTATACTCCGAATGTAGCCCCGCTCAGCTTTTTTCAGAGGCTGAAAGAAGCTTCAGAAAAGAAGCCCCCAAACAGAGCTTCAGAGGCTTTTTTTCTGAAGCTCTGTTTTGGAGGCTTTCAGAGGCAGGAGAACAAGTTTTTTCTGAAACAGAGTTTCAGAAGTTTGAGAGGCAGAAAAAAAAAAAGGCAAGGCACAGAGCTAACAACCAAGGACCCTGTTGCTAAAATTTACCTCTGGGAACAGCTGATTGGGGGTATTCCAGGAGGCCGATCCACCCGCCAATCAGCTTTTTTCTTATTTTCCTCCCCAAAAAGTAAGGTGCATCTTATACTCCGAAAAATACGATAATTTATAGAGCTGTCAATCTCAATAAATGTGGCTCTGGGTTGTATACAACCAAGCAAAGCAAATATAACCATTGAAAACAATTTTCAAGTGCAATTAACAATCTTGCAGGTTTGTCAAAGGGCCCCCAAAGTTGTTGGAAGAACTGTGTTTGTGCTTCTAGTCTGCTTTCTGGACTATTTCGCCTTACGAACTCTACGTAATGCATATGTCATTCTTGCTGTCATCTTGGCTTGAAGATGGCCAAGAGGAACTTGGCATCACAGTTCTTAGTACTCAAGAGAACAGATCCACAACCTAAAATTCCAGAGCTTTAAGCACCCTCTATAGAGTTTTTCAGACAATGAAACTTGTTTTAAAATTCCCTGATCAAGAAACAAACAGGTCTGGTGAAAAATGGCTGTGTTCAAGTTACATTTTTTAGTCTCTGAACAATAAAGTTCCTGGAACATGGTTTGAAAAATCCTGCTGTAGGACACCCCACCCCACCCCCCAAAAAAACCATCCTGAAGTAAGCTTCCAAATAGTAGTTGTTCGCATTATGCGTAGAGAAGCTCTTAAATTCAAGAATTATATTAAGTGTACATGAACAAGTCAAATCTAGTTTTTATTCTGGCTTTTGGAATACCACCCGTAGCATATCCCTTGGAAGCGAAGTGGAACCTGCAGCCCATAAAATAATGAGCACACCCTTGATTTGAAACTGCAAGAGGAGATGAGGTGACCCTGGAGTGGAAGGCAGTCTGAATGCAGAGAGTGATAAAGACCATCTCTTGCATGTTTGCAGGCTTCATGGCCCTGGCCTCTCTAAAGCAGGGAGAGAGACATCGATAGATTTTGAATGTTATAGGTTAATTTATTTTATATAAGGGGACCTCCCCCTCACACAAAGAGACAGTACCACTGCACAGATCCACCCCTTGGTCATCTGTCAGACTGTCAGGAGGGGCAGGATCTTGTTCTGACCTAGGTTTCCTATTAAACAGCACAAACTTAGTCCCGGCAAACCTCTTTAATTCATATGATTGTAAATTACTTTCATTTAAAGTCTCAAGACTTGATAAACAGTCTTTCTGAGGAAGGTTATCAACACCCACCTATCTCATGTGGAACGCTGCCAAAGAGCTAATTTCCAGACGCAGGGCAAGGCCAAACCTGGCATAGTCACAAGTTTCAAATCTTGAGTCAGCCAGATGAACTAATTGCTTCCTGCAAAAGCTCATGTCCCATTTGCTTCTCTTTTATGTCTTATGGGAGGGCCAATCATCTCTCAGCCTTACTCCCAAATCGACCCTGTTTCCTTAATTGTTCCTGTCTCCTGGCATCTCTGCGCATGAGCACACTGGGAACAGGCTCCTGTTGTTCTTCTGCCTCACTGATGTCAGACTCCAGAGGCAGCAAAGAACTACCTTGGCCCCCGCTCTGCCTCCGACTCAGAGCCCTCGTCCGAGCCTTCCCCAGACTCCAGGACTGGCCCACATTCCTTCCCAAACTCCTCACTGTCCGAATCTGCTGCCAGCTCTGCTGGCCGCTAGCAGGCCACAACAGATCTAACATAGGTGACTAAGGTAACATTTAGTGCTGGCTGGCTCCTGTTATAGGAGTATAAATGGCTGCTCCGTGGACTTGATAAATAAATTGGCCAAATCCCAGCCTAGCATCATTTTGCGCTGGTGTTTTGGTTCTTTGGAAATGCTCAATTCTAGAACTCTCTCAGCTCTGCTCAGTTGCACCTGACTCCAGTGGTGCAGCTGTCGTTTTCGAGAGGGAAAGCAAATGAGTTCAAATTTGCACGGCAGTGAGTCCGGCTGCAGTGGTCTCTCTGTTCCTTATCAAACTCAACAGGTTTGAATATATGAGTGTGCATTATAAAAGAATACTAGCTGATAACTCTGTGTTGCCCGGGTATTTATTGCCGGCTCCCCCCTCTGTGTGTATCTCTATTTATTTGTTTATTTATTTATTGGTTCATTTATTTAATTATTGGTTGGTTGGTTTATTTATTTATTTATTTATTGGTTCGATTTATAGGCCGCCCTTCTCCGGAGACTCAGGGCAGCTTACAATGCATTAAGCAATAGCCTTCATACTTTTGTATAGACCTGCTTAGTAAGGTTTTGGCCCCCCCTAAGCGGTGTTCTTTTTTATACAAAGTCACCTTATTGCCCCCACAATCCGGGTCCTCATTTTATCTACCTCGAAAGGATGGAAGGCTGAGTCAACCTTGAGCCTGGTGAGATTAATTGCAGGCAGCTGGTGTTACTTAACAGTACTTTAGTCTGCTGCGCCACCAAGGCTCTTCTCTATTCCCCCCCCTGTATCTTCCCCCCCCCCCCCCCCCCCCCCCCCCGCAGGCCATGAGGCACTCTTGCAGCACCTTGCACAGCTTAGTGAACTTTAGTGTGCTTCACAATGGGGGAGATGGGGTCCCCTCCTCCTCCTGGAGCCCATTTCGACGTGGAGTGACAATGCGTTCTTGCATTACTTGCCCCTAGCAACAAGATGCGACTTACAGCTCTGAGCCCGAGGCAGCGGGAGGGCTGCCTTGACTGCAAATGTGGCACGAAGGCAAGGACAGGGTCCCTTCGCTCCTTCACTAAGGCTCTGGCCATCGCCTTGCCGTGTCCTCCATCCCCCCCTCCTCCCCGCAGGTCTTTGGCTGAGCTCGGTGGGCCTGAGCTCCAGCCTGAAGTGGCAGGAGCCAAGGCTGCCTTGAGCACAAATGTGGCGCAAAGACAAGTATAGAACCGCTTCGCTCCTGCACTAAGGCTCTTGCGGCCCTCCTCTTCCTTCCCTTCTCCTCTCGCAACCCTTGGCCAGTGGTGGTGCTGGGAGGTGTGCCGTTACCATGGCAACTCCACTGTACTGTACAGTAGAAGCCATTTTAAAGCACAACAGGCTGTATCTTAGCAGAGCACACACACCTAGGGGTGTCTTACCCCACAGTATTTTTTTTCCAGTTAGTAAGTCATCTGTGTACCATGTTTGGTTGAAATTGCTCAAGGTGTTCTGGAGTTATGCTGCAATACACACACACACACACACCTAGGGGTGTCTCACCCCACAGTATTTCCAGAGAGTGTGTCATCTGTGTACCAAGTTTGGTTGAAATTGCTCAAGGCATTCCAGTTACGCTGGAACATACATACATACATACATACATACATACATACATACATACATACATACATACATACATACATAAAGCCTTTTTTATATATATAGAAGATTGTGAGTACTGAGGTGACTTCAATTTTTATTTCAGCTAAAGCCACCTTTGATGCTATCTCCAAGACCTACAGTTATCTGACCCCTGATCTCTGGAAAGAAACTGTCTTCACTAAATCTCCTTATCAGGTAAGGAAAATGTGGCATGAGGATTAGAGTTCTCCCCCCCCCTCCCCCAAAGATTATGCCTTTCCTTTCCAACGAGACAGACATGGAGGCTCCTCTCATTTTATCCTACTAACCCTGTGAGATGGAGTGAAGTCACTGAACAGAATTCCTGCCCGCCTCCTAGAGCTGTATTTTATGGGGTGGGGAGGAAATTGATGAACCTTTTCCCCTTTTCTACAGGAGTTCACTGATCATCTGGCGAAGACACACACCACCAGAGTGTCTGTGCAAAGAACTCAGGCAGCTGCTGTGGCAACCACCTAAAAGATCCTGTACATGATCAATAAAGTAATCCTTACGTTTTAAACCAACCTAGTACATGCTGTATTTGTTCCTTGGGCAGGTTCCTTCATTGGGAGAAATGCCAATGTTCCAAAAATGCATCTTGAACATAAACAATATCCTTGAGTAAGGAAGGTTTGGGGGATCTTCAGGAGTTGTGATTGCTTTGCTTGTATGTTTCAGTGGTTGGCCGCAAGATTGGATATCGGCAAGGTGAGAGGCCAAGAGAAGGATTGGGTTGTTCTTTCCTCCCAAGCTTAGCTCTTGATAGCCATCACTGATGTTCTCGTTGCCTTCTGCAGTGTCATCACTTTCCATCATTGGATTCTTCTCAACATTCTTCATCCTTGTCTCAGAATGTTCTGGGTTACCATAGGGACAGGAATTTTAAATGATTGAACTTTACTGGCCACATTTTACCGGATGTCAGTTAGGTTAACATTTGTTTTTCCCATCATTTGAAATATAGCTTCTCTCTCATTTGATCTCTAACAAACACTACCTTTCTCAACAAATGGAGCCATTGATCGTTCTAATCTAGAGGCTTAAGTTGTTGCAGACTTGACAGTAAGCCAGAACTGCATTCTTTTAATTCACCTGGAGGATTAACCTACCCTTGGGAATTTTGCAACCGTTAGAACCATGGCTAGCTCTGGTAAATACCAAGCGGAGCTGGAAGCTAGGGAAGAATTATATTATGGGACAGACATACAAATGTATCAACTTTTGATCGCTTTCCTTTTTCTTGATTTGAATATTTAATTTAATTTAATCAATCATATTTCAAGGGACTGGGCAGCTTACAACAAAAATAATACAATGAACACATTTAAAAAAAAACAAAACATAAAAGCATTTTAAAAACACATGCACACCATCCATGGCCGGATCTCGCAAGATTGAACAGCGAGATCAGCGGCCCTAGGCCTGCCAGAAAAGCCAGGTCTTCACCGCTTTTTGGAAGGCCAATAGGGTGGAGATGGTCCGGACCTCAGGAGGTAACTGGTTCCAGAGAGCTGGGGCAGCCACAGAGAAGGCCCTCCCCTGCGGGCCCGCCAGCCGGCATTGTTTAGCTGATGGGACCCGGAGACCAACTCTGGGATCTTGCCGGTTGCTGGGAGCTATGCAGTAGAAGGCGGTCTCGAAGATAGCCTGGCCTTGAGCCATGTAGGGCTTTAAAGGTAATAACCAACACCTTGAATTGTGCCCGGAGACCAATAGGGAGCCAGTGCAGCTCGCAGAGAATTTGGTGTAATGTGGGTGTATCTAGCTGCATTCTGGACCAACTGTAGTCTCCGAACACTCTTGAAGGGTAGCCCCATCTAATGTGACAAGCAGAGAGTGTGCTCAGAGGCAATGTCTTTACTGATGCATTGATGAACAATTGGCTTGGATTTCATTGCCACCTGGCACTAAGCCCCTGCCACCCTGTGCCCACCGATCCAGCTGACAACTCCCATTGCAAACGTGGTGGCTATGGGGAGGGGGGGGAGAGAGCCAAAAATAGCCCTTCAGCTGCTATGGGTCAAAAATCCCCTTTGTAAAGAGGTCCTGGGTAGTGCAGTGCTTTGCAGTCTAAAATTCATTTTAAGTATGTTGAATAGTCTGAGCCTGAGCAATGTGCAAAATGTTCTGTGAATAGAGCAGTTTCAGGTGATCTGCTTAGGGACAAAAATGGGCACGCATGTGAGATATTAGAGAAAAGGGAATAGTTTGATAGTTTATTAATTGTACTGTTGTACAATTGTACTGTTCCATTGAACCATCCCTGACTCCAAAATATTGGATAATCATTTGTCCAGGATAGAACAGGGACTCCTGCAGGGGGTTGGAACCTCCAAAGTCTCTTCTAGCCCTGTTTCTACCCTGCTCGAATTCAACGATAGCAGCAGTAGCAAGGAAAAGGGTAGGGTGCACCATCCATAACTTACCTAGTGATCCCCTCCCAGATTCTGTTTTGGCTGAAAACTGGAATGGTTCAAGTTCCAGGGAATTTTCTAGCCCGGTTCCAGAGCCACCATGTTTTCTTTGCATTTGGCTCCGTAAGCCATTAACGAACAAGACAAAATTTTGCTATGCTGAAATGTCTTTATTTTATACAAGGAACATTAAGGAATTGATAAAGATTATACATTTATTCATTTTACAACTGAGTTGCACTTCAGCCTCATCTGCCACAGAATTGCACCAGGGTTGTCCCCTGATTTCCCACCAAAGACGCAGCTCATTTCTTTTCTGCCTCTGCTTGGGCCTTCCTTTCTGCAATCATCCGATGTTTCTGCTTCATTAAACACCTGCGAGCAGATCCAAAACCACCTAGGTCATCATCTAAAATTAAAAAACCCAGGTTACACGATAATCTGCCAAAAAGATTACTGCGCGGTGACACTGCCAAGCAAGGAACTTTCTTGAAAGGCAGAATTCTCCCTGAGTCCTGACTCGCTGGGATTGAACACTGATTTAAAAAGCTCCTTTTTAATTCTCAAAACATAAAGCAACTTGAAAAGAAATCCAAATTCATTGCTGAAGAGGATACTTAGGGACATTTTTTATTGTTTTTCTTCATTAAAAACAATCTTTCATGAAGTACATTTAATTGAATTTCACAGCAAGTTGAACCCAAGTAAAAACTAAATTTTAAAAACATTCATGCATGGGGAAAAAAAGTCAAAGTTCCAAATCTTCTCCATAAAGAAGTCAGGAACTAATTCTTACTAAGTGTGAAGTAAAATAACCCACATAAACCAAAACTTATTAACACCCTCAATCATTTTGACCTATGTAAATAGGATCCTTACACCAAAAAGTTTTGAGAACCACTGGCCTAGAATATGGGATCTGGTTTTACATAAGTTTAATGTTAAAAATGTCAGGGGTTGACTTACATCGATCCCTATAAGCTTTGGCTACATCTTTAAATAGCTGTAGGTCCTTTGCACAATTTTCAGCGGCATTCACGCCTTCCCGGACTTGGCAAGCACCTAACCTCTCCCGTACGATTTTCACAATTTCCTGGTCAACCTGCCTATGAAAGCAGAAAAACAATTTGGAGAATGCTGTAACACACGTATTTGTTCCTCCAGTTAGCCATGCAACCTCAGTGCCCAGCATCTTTTTAGGCTCATACCCCCATTGAACAGATGGCTCACAAGCACAACACACAAGTGTTGTGCTCATGTGGGGTTTGAACCACTAACAAATCTTTATCAAAGCAAGCCCAGCCTTACTATGATTCCACCTTCAAACAAAATGTTTGCATTAGATAAAATACTGAAGATTTGTTTTCATAACTTTTCTTTACCAAAGGAACCACTTCTTGCTTTCCTGCTGTGACTGCAAAGAGCCCCTTTAGAAGATGAGCTTTCTGCTCTCCTCCTTCCTTATTTGTTCCACCACTGTAATTTAAGTCCAGGAAAAAGCCTGACCATAGGCCATTTTAGACCCTTCCCCTGGAGTACCTGTGGCCCTACCTATATTCCCAAGCTTGCCATCTTTTAACTGCTGCCTGTGCTGATAGTTACCTAACAGGCTACAAAATACTTCCAAATAATTTAAGCACATAAAGCTGCAGATAACAGTGGCCTGCATAACAGATCATTTGAGACGAACTCGGGAAAGATACAGACATACAAATCTCTCTTCCACTGCATCTCAGCTTCGTAGATGCACAGGTAGTCATCCTCCAAGCATTCTGTAATGTCCGGCACACGGCGGAACTCCCGGTGATAGTAATAAATCTTATTGTTTGAACGCTGGCGTTCCAGCCATTCTGTTAAAAGAAAAAAAAAAAAAACAAGTCCATTCCAGACAGGAGCTAGAGAGCTCTTTTAATCAGCAAGGTTAAAGATGAAGTGATTGCTAGGATCTTAAGACAGCTTGCCTTTTTTTGTACACAGTTTGTATTAAAACTATTCACAAGAAGATAGAAACTAAGAAACTAATGTATAGTGAGAAGGAAAAAAGAAGAAAAAGAAATCAAAGAAAGAGCAAAAGCTGGAAGAAAAGAAAGTTGAAGAGTGATAGAAATGAAAGAAGTGGCTTCTGATATTCTCCACAGCAGTCCGGTGGGCCTGATTTCTAGGAAGCCACCCTGGAAAGGCTGCCCTGCTCCCCCTCTGAAGCTCAGGCGCGGCCCGCCCGGCTGAAGGGCTGGAACTCGCCTGCCACCGGCTCACCGCTGCGTCTCGTTTCTGTCCGACGGAGCCTCCAGGGAAGGCAAGCAAGCCGAGCCAGCCGCTGATCTCTGCAGAAGACGCGCTATGGGGCCCACCGGCCCTCCTGGCGCGAGCGGAGAAGGCGCTGCAGCTGGGCGGAGCCTCAGCCGGTCAGGCCAGCGCTTCCCCAACCTTGGCAACTGCAGGGTACGTGGACTTCGGCTCCCAGAATCCTCACCAAGAGTCATGCAGGCTGCGGAATTGTGGGAGCCGAAGTCCATACGCCTGAAAGAAGCCCCGCCTTCCAGCCGCTACGGCTGAGGATGACGGGAGTTGTAGTTGCGAAAGCACCGTCCCTCCTCCTCACCTCTGTACAGGGTGACCGGTCTGTCTACCGTGTAGTAAAAGAGCTTGTCGAAGAAGAGAGTCGGGCCGGAGGAGGGCACCGGGGGTCCAGGCTCCGGAACGTCGATCGGGGGCAAGTTATACGCCGCCCGCTCCGAGTCCTTCGACATCTCCGCAGCCTCCGGAACCTCTGATCGGACAAAATGGCGGCGGAAGACAAGTGCGCATGCGTATGCTAGCGAGAAAGCTTTCGCTTTCCGCCGGCCAATCGGTGGGGAGGCCTTTCTGCGCGTGCGCGCCGAGGGGTGTGTGTCTGCGTTTGCCGAGTGGGCGTTCCTGTCCGCCCTTTAATTTGGCGGCCGACGCGATGAGTCCAGTAGGGGGCGTCAGGGAGCTCCCAGCCGCGTGGCCGGCGCGTTTCTCCCTCTGAGGTCCGCTGTGCCGGCCGCCCAGACGGAGCTTCCCGCCCCCCCCCCCCCCTCCCCCCTTCCCCATGGTTGGGGCCGGGGAAGGGGCGCCTCCGCTTCCATCTTTAGCCCCGGGGCGGAATTCGCAGCGGCGCTTCGGAAAGGAGCCCCCGGCAAACGGCTCAGGACCCGGAAGGCGGGTTTCCTCTCTTCCGGAAGGGGGCCGAGCCCGTGCTCGAAGACCCCCCCCCCATTGGGCCCCCGCCCCGCAGGTGCAAGAGCGGCCGTCCACGGCTCAGGTCGGGGCCGCCCTTCGGCTGCAGCCCAGAAGCTCTGAAGAAGCCGGGAGCCCCTCCCCCCCCGTGCCCCTTTCCCCCCCTTGGGAGGCGGAGGGGTGGTCGTGGAGGGGGGGGTGGGGGCAGGGAAAGGCCGCGTGGCTCTAGAGCAGTGGCTCCCAACCTTAAGGCTGCGACCCTTTAATACAGTTCCTCATGTTGTGGTGACCCCCAACAATAAAATTATTCCTAAAACCAGGGTGGATAAAAATCAATGATTTTTTTAAAAAAATCAAAAAAATCAGTTTTTTTAAATTTAAATCTGATTTTTTTTTTATTTAAATCAGATTTTTTTGATTTTTATCGAATTTATTTTAATAAAATTTTGGGGTAAAAATCTATCATAAGATAGTTTTCTATTAAGATACATAAATAATTTCGTTTATTCAGCATGAAATGGAGCTTAGTTATGTAGCAGGAGGCTGTATATTCTGCAACCCTGGGACTATCGGTGAGTCAACAGTGGGTCAAAGGAGTAGCAGAGATGACAGTTGCTCTTTAAAAACTATGATTTAAATCGAGCTGATTTAAATCAAGCCTTTTTACTAGTGATTTAAATCGTGATTTAAATTGTGATTTAAATCAACTTGATTTAAATCAAATCCACCCTGCCTAAAACCATTGAAAATACGTGTTTTCCGATGGTCTTAGGCGACCCCTGAGAAAGGGTCATTCGACCCCCAAAGGGGTCCCGACCCACAGGTTGAGAACCACTGTCTAGAGCCTGACTCCGCTGCTGGGATTAGACGCCGTAACTGACAGCGCCTGAAATGCCAGCAGTAAAAAGGCTGGAAGGCAAAGAAATGGAGAAGAGCCGTCTCGATGGCTCCGGTGATTCCCACTCGTTCTTGGCACCTGTTTGCCTAACTCATAATTGGGTTTACATGCCATGTCAACCAGGCACGCAGAGTCTGACGACGGCTGGTCTCTTGTGTAGCACCAGAAACCAAAGATTTATGGATATGGAGTGTGTATCCTGAACGTGGTTTGGGATGAAGAATGTTGAATTTGTTGAATGTTTTTATTTATTCCGGAGCTAATAAAACCACAGAAAATGCCTCCCGACAGATTCTTGGCAAAGATTTAAACATTTCCACTTTTAGAAAGAAAAAAACCTTGTTGATGCTACAAATCCTTTTAATCTGAAAAAATCTGAACGTAGGGAAGGGAACCCCCAGGGCTCTTGTATTTTGACAGTCTGGCAGAACCTCACTTCCTTTTAGCCAGAGGGAGCTGTTTTTTAGACTGGAAAATCTAAAAAACTTGGCATAGGGAGAAATTGCCCCATGATACACTCGGAGTCTTTCTTCAACAGGATAAAAGAGAAGCCTTGTGCAGGACACTTTTTTTAGACAAAGCCATTTGGGGGCTGCATGCACCCCCCCCCCAGGGAAGCCCATTTTGTCTGGGCTCAGGGCTGAATGGCAAAGGGACAGAAGAGGCTCCCCTCTCCATCGGCTTCCTACTCGGCTGTGGGGTGGGCTGCACCAAGAAGTAGAATTGTGTTTGGGGAGGCAGTGGCTGGTGGTGGGTGATATATTTGTCGAGAGTGACCTTTTATCTCCCAACATGCTCGACCCGTCAGCCCTCCCGAGGGTGAAATGGATAGTGCACCAGAATGAAGCCAGCTGCTAAATTTATGTCTTGGGGAGAGAGAAACATCTTTGGCATTAGGCAAGCCAGGCACTTGCTGGTAGCCTCTTTCTCTCTCGGCAGCCTCGGCTGAAGACGTCGGATAATGGTACTGGCAAGCGATGGGCCTGGCCTTTGTGGGGCCATGGAGAGAGGTGGTGGTGGGGGGTAGTTGGTGTCTGAAGGCAACGACTTGCAGGAGGCTTTCAAGGGAAGGCCAGTCGGGATCCCCACTTCTGCCCCTCGGCAGGCATCAACAGGGCTTATCCCTCTTGTTCTGATTTCAGTGTCCTCCCACAGCAGATTGCCTCCCCTCCCCAATTTGGTGCTTCCTATTTGGGCCCTTTTCCCCTTCAATAGGTAGCCTTGCACCAACTGCTGATGATAGCAGGGCTCAAGTTTAAATTAGATACAGACTGGTCAGAATGTTAAACAGCGGATAGCAAATTATGAAGACCTGAGATGAGTTTTCCCCCTGCCTCTTGGAGCTGATCCCTCTGGGGAAGAAAGGCTCTTTGCAGGAGATTTTCTTCAAAGCCATCAAGCCACCACCTGCTGTGTACCTCTGGACATGCAGGCGAGCCCCTGCAGCTCTGTTCCTCAGAGGTTTTCATATCTGCAATTGGTATAGACCAAATCTTGACATCTACACTAAAGGGTTTCGTGTACTTGTGGGTTTTTTGGGGGGGGCAGTTCTATTTAGTTGGGAGGTTTGGAGGGGTTTTTGTGTATTTTAGCCCATACAAAATGGTAGAGTGGAATAGGAACCCCTGGAAGTAAGCATAGCTGGTATCAAAGGCAGCCACACAAACCACACATTTACTGCCCCTAGCCTTACTTAGCAGCTATAGACTACCGGGACAAGAAGATCCAGTAAAATACTTTACAGGAGGAAAAGACCCATTAATGAATTATTGCTATCACTGACCGATTTGGAATGATAGTTTTTTTTTTGAAAGTTACAAAACTTTAAAAATTTCTTTTTTTTAAATGGACTATGTTTGAAGAGAGAAAGAGGAAAGAGGCGATAAACAGGAACTTTTTAAAACAAAAGGAAAAGACAAGTGGATAACTATACAATTAAAAAAATGGAGATGCTGTGACGAAGTGAAAGTGCAAATGTGGACTGCTTGCGGCTTGGAAGAAAAATTATGTGTCTTGCTATTTAAACTGGATTATTTTGGCAACAATCGAGGTTTGACTCTGGAGATATCCAATCTGTCTAGTGGATGTTTTATTGATGGAAAGAAAGAAGAAATAAAATGGAACAATTATAATTGAACTAATAAGCGCAGCAACAAAAGAAAAGGGCGTGGTAATAAAAGAAAAGACAATACCATATATGGAAAAGAAGACACAAAAGAACTAAACTTTATAGAACTTTTAACTTTGATAATATTGAAATTGAAAAGGAACAGTTTTGGACAGATTGGGGGGGGGGAAAGAAATGGAATATAGTGGCCTGCAAGATAAGAAAAATAATATAATTTGATTAAAATGGAAATGTAATGTTTAATGCATATCTGAAGCCTGAATACTAATATGAGGTGTTTTCTTTCTCTTTCTTTCCCCTTTGATTTCTTTCTTTTCTTTTCCTTCTTTTTTCCTCTTTACTTTTACTCTCTCCTCTCTCTCTGTTTCCTTTTTTACTTTTTACTTCCATTCCTTTTAAACTTGATTATATAAATACACATATACTAATTTGGTCATGAAATAAGATTATAAATGATTGAATGAGAATATGAGCTTTTAAATGTTTTGAATGCTTAAATGAATTTTTGAATTTTAAAATAAATATGAAGAGTGATGACTTTAAAGGAAATTTACAATCCAGGAGAAAATATGTGAGAAGATATCTGTTAAAATAATGTTGAGTTAAAAATTGTGGGTGAATGCGTTGAAAAAGCAATTTATGTAATATGCTGTGAATTTGTTAAAATAAAACAGCTAAAATAATAGAAGTAGGCATGGAGGAAAGCATGCTGGTATATCAGCTACACGTGGTGGAGATTTGGAGGAGAATATGCTGGAAATCAGCCAAAATAAAATATGCTGGAAATCAGCCAAATAATAGTGGGAGATTTGGAGGTGACTATGCTGGAAATCAGCCAAAATAAAATATGCTGGAAATCAGCCAAACAATAGGTGGAGAAATAAAGGAGAATATGGATTTTGAGATAAATCTATGTAATATGAAATATGTAAAATTAAAGGTAAATTGATAAAGTTTTTTTTTTTTTAAAGATTTGATGAAGGGGTCTAAAGACTAAGAAATATGGATAGAACTTTGATTTATAAATTGAAATAAAAAATAGAGCTGTAGTCAATTTGAAACTAAGATGTATGTCGATAAAATTGTAATGTTATGAGATGGTACCGCCCCAGGTGCCTGATGGAACCTGATAGGTTCCAGACGGAGCTTGGGCCATTCCCTGAGGCTCTGGCTCACGCCTCGACTGAAGATCTAGTAGGTGCCTGGGATAGGGCGGCCGCTGGAGCTTTGGATCGGGTCATGCCTTTGCGGCCTCTGACCCGGGGCCGGTCTCACCAGGCTCCTTGGTTCACCGAGGAGCTGAGGGAGATGAAGCGCCGGAAAAGATGCCTGGAGAGCAGTTGGAGGGCCAGCCTTTCTGAATCCGACTGAACACTGGTAAGATCCCATATTAAGACTTATCTAGTGGCGATAAAAGCGGCAAAATGTAACTATTTTGCCACTCTTATTGCGTCATCAGATAATCGCCCAGCCGCCCTGTTTAGAGTGACCCGCTCCCTCCTCCACCAGGAGCGCGGGAGGACTCCTTGGAGGGCAGGGCCGAGGACTTTGTGCAGTATCTGTATGATAAAATCGCTCAGATTCAGGAAGACTTGGACTCTCACTGGGTAGATTCAGGAGGGATGATGGAGGCAGGTCTTGAGAATGTTATCTGGGAAGAGTTTGATCCTGTGACTCCCAAAGACGTGGACAGGATTCTGGGTAGACTGAGCGCAGCCACATGTTCATTGGACCTGTGTCCTCCTGGTTGGTGCTGGCCTCTCGGGAGATGACATGAGGCTGGCTCCAGGGGATTATAAATGCTTCATTGAGTGAGGGTGACTTTCCCGCCGCCTTGAAAGAGTGGGTGGTGAGGCCTCTCCTCAAGAAGCCTTTCCTGGACCTGGCAGTGTTAGCAAATTATCGTCCAGTCTCCAACCTTCGCTTTGTGGCAAAGGTTGTTGAGAGTGGTGGCGCAACAGCTTCCCCAGTACCTGGATGAAACGGTTTATCTCAGTGTTTCCCAAACTTTTGACATATGTGTACCCCTTCTATAATTTTCGTAACGCTGAGTACCCCTCATAAAAAACATATGCTTTAACTCTAACCGTTAGATAACACTGCAATTCTCCGGCATTTAAACAGCTCTGCGGCTCAACGTCAACTGTTAATGTTCCCGCAGTTTAAAAATGGCCAAACCCGAGCTGCGCGAAGGATGCGCAGAAGTTCCTGCCATAATGAGTTGCGATACCATGTACGATGGCCCCAGTTCCCGTGTAAAAACTGCGATACGCGCCTATTTCTTTCCTTGTTCTGTGGGTGCAGCTAAGCACGGTGCAGTGGATATTCCCACGTGATCCCCACCAAACTCCGGTGCAACGCGTACCCCCACCAAACTCTTCCCGTACCCCTGGGGGTACGCGTACCACACTTTGGGAAACACTGGTTTATCTGGATCTGTTCCAGTCGGGCTTCAGGCCTGGGTGCAGCAGGAAATGGCTGGTTGATGATCTCTGGAGGGCTCGGGACAGGGATTGTTCCTCTGTCCTGGTCCTATTAGACCTCTCAGCGGCTTTTGATACCATCGACCATGGTATCATGCTGCACCGGTTGGAAGAGTTGGGGGTGGGGGGCACCGTGTTGCGGTGGTTCTCCTTTCTCTCCAACCAGTCGCAGTCTGTGTTGGCAGGGGGGCAGAGGTTGACCCCAAGGCGCCTTATATGTGGGGTGCCACAAGGGTCGGTCCTCTCGCCCCTTCTGTTCAACATTTATGTGAAGCCACTGGGTGAGGTCATCCGTAGTTTCTGGGTGAAGTACCATCAGTACGCTGATGATACCTAGCTGTACATCTCCACCCCGGACCACCCCAGTGATGCCCTTGAAGTGATGTCCCGGTGCCTGGAGGCCGTGCGGATCTGGATGGGGAGAAACAGACTCAGGCTCAACCCATCCAAATTGGGTGTTTTTAAATTCGTTTTTTGGGCCAAAATTATTTAATGTACTTTTAAATGGTTTTTAACTTTTCTATGATGTATTTTTATCTTGTGGCTGTTCACCACCCTGAGTCCTTCAGGAGTAGGGCGGTATATAAATTAAATTAAATAAAAATAAAATAAATAAATGGGTATATAAAATCTATTTGGAAATTAAATTGGTGGTGATATAATAGAACAGTTCTGGTCAAGATATTAGATAAGATAATTTAAAAAAAAATTTTTTTTGTTCTGATTTTTAATTTTAAAAGATGTAATGGAAGATTGTGAATGGAGCTTTTTAATATCTAAGTGATTGTACCTATCTATGACCGGATCGAGACTTCGCTCTTGAAAGATATATTTTATGTTTTATGTTGGAAAAAAATAAAAAAATACTTTTCAAAAAAAAACCCCACACATTTACAGGCTGCATTAGTACAGAAACTGAGTCCATCGCTTCTCCCTCCAGCATAGCAGCCACAGTAAAATCTATTATTTATCAACTGCAAACCATACTATTCGCCTCGTGAATTTTCCTCATTTCTTCTAATTGCTGTTTATGTCCCACCACAAGCCTGTGTGCATTATGAACTCTAGCTGACCAAATTATGGAGGCTGAAGCCAAATTCTTCGATTCACTGGCCATTATTTTGGGAGATCTAAACAAGGCAAACTTAAGGAAAGAGCTACCAAAATACTTTCAGCATGTCAATTGTCCCACTAGAGGCAAGAATACTTTAGACCATTGCTACACAACACTAAAAGATGCTTATCGGTCCTTACCATGAGCAGCTGTGGGACCCTCTGATCATTGCATGATTCACCTTGTACCTGCTTACAGGCAAAGACTTAAAATCACAAAACCAACAATTAAATCAGTGAAGACCTGGACAGAGGAGGCAAAGTTAAAGCTACAGGCCTGCCTTGACTGCACTGATTGGAATGTTTTTGAAAGTACCTCTGCAGACGTAGATGAACTCACAGTCTGCAGTGTGTCAGCTTCTGTGTACCCACCAGGAACATGGGAATATACAGTAACAACAAACTTTGGTTCACAGCTAAACTTATGCAGCTACATCGTTCCAAAGAGGAAGCCTACAGCAAAGGTGATAAAATGCTGATCAATCAGGCCAGAAATGTATTAACAAGGGAGATCAGAGCAGCAAAAAGAAGCTACTCTGAAAAGCTAAGGAATCAGTTCTTAACAAATGAACCAGCAAACGTGGAAAACTCTTAAAAATATCACCGGCTATGGCAAACCTTCCGAGGCTGAAGGAAATCAGCAACTGGCAGATGACCTGAACGTGTTTTACTGCAGGTTTGAAAGGAAATTACAGCCACCCATCTCCACAACCCCCATCTCAGACACACCAACAACAGCCAAGCCTCCTACAACTGACCCCATCCCATTGGGTTCACAACCCCTAGTGATCACAGAAAACGAAGTGCAAGACCTATTTCACAGACAAAAGCCAGGAAAAGCTCCAGGCCCAGACAAGATAACTCCTTGCTTTTGTCTGTGCTGACCAATTGGCCCCCCATCTTCACCCGTATCTTCAACGGGTAAAAATGACACCTAGATTTGGTCCAGGGAGCAGAGTGAGAGGGACGTCATTGAGTTCGTACTTTGTAGCCTTTCGTCAATTATGTCTTTTAGATCAGCAGTTCTCAAACTGGCCTGCCGTCCCCAAAGGATTCAAAGGGAAAAGAGCATTTTGAAGGGTGCAAAGATAGCTCCCTCAAACAAGGACCCAGGATCCTCTTCCCTGCCTTGGAGCATCACCTTCTCTTTGAAACCAAATCTCCCATTTTTTAAAAGTGATTCTCTTCAAAATCAAATGGAATAGAATGAAGCGTGAGGAGCAGAGGTGTAACTACTTCTCTCTTCACTGATGACCAGAAATTGTCTCTTCAAAAGTGTCAAAAACTCTAAATAGGCACAGAATTGCACCCACAGGAAAATGAGTGAATGAGGAAAAACTGGAGTTGGAGAGAAGAGAAGAGTTTGTGGAAAACAAAGTTTTATTTGGATGCAAAGTTTTACTGTGGTGACTTCAACTGAGGAGTGTGACTGTCGGCACTCTTTGTTGGGGAAAGAAAGCGACAAATCACAGCAATTCAGCATTTATTATCTTATATAAACGGTACTGTACTCTTTATTTTTTTCAATATTAACTACATAGTTTTTTAATCATTAACTCTACATACTTTCAAAGATACAATTGAAAAATGAATTAGGCACAAATCTTTGGAAAGGTGGGTTTTTTCCTCCAACCATAAGCACTGCATATTATATTATAACCTCTGAGCTGATCTTTATATTTTATATGAACTAAATGATTCTGAATGAACTGAATATAAATGTTTATTATATTGAATGATCCTGAGAAATCTGAATGATCCTTTATTCAAGATTTTGTTTACACTGCAAGGCTTCGCTTACACTAGAGAGTCTGTGGCTGTTTCAAGGTAAGGCTTATTTCCATAAACCACAAAGCAAGATTGCAAATTCATGAGGATTGTAAACTGATTTACAAGGATAATAAAACTGCAGTAAGATATGGCAGATTCTATGCATCTGCAATTATCACTTTACCACCTGTAACGACTACAACATTTTTAAAGGAAATAACCTCTTCAGTATTATTGCAAACTATTACTTTTCTATCATCTTTTACACTTGATCCAAACTGATATTTCATTTTTTACTCTCAGCTGAAATACTATTTTTTCTTTTCAGCTGATATTTTATTCTTTTCATCTTTTATTCATATGCCATTTTTTTAACACATCTGTGGATTACAAACTATATCTAGAGTACAATCTTATTTGCATTTAAATTCAACTTAAACATTAGGCTCCCTCCAGAGGTTATGGGTGCTCCATTTACAGGAGGTTTGTAAGCAGAGATTGGACAACCATTTATCCAAGATGGCATAAGTCTCCTTCTTGAGCAGGGGGTTGGATTAGGTAACCTTCAAGGCCCTTTCCAACTCCGTTATTCAGCTGCAGGACTCTGCTCATCACACCTTAAGTGGGAGAGTAGTGGGGAGGAACACAGCATCTTGGAAATAGTGTACAAAATTATTGAAATGCTCTGGAGCCATCAGGCCATCTTTGCTTAAAGTAGTTAATAATCTCCTCCAAGTGGGAATCTCATTGGGAGAGGAAAAGGGCTCCTGATGTGAAAGCTCAGACCAAGCCAGTCACAGGCAGAATTGGGTGCACAAACTCTTAAGATCTGGGCTATCCCAGTTCTTAGAATAGTAACTAAAAAGTAATATTTGATGCCAGAGTTTAGACATTTGTAACGTAAGCTGAATTGGGGGGAGGGGGGAGGGAATTCTGTAAGTTTTGTTGAACTACTTTTTCATATTGTATCTGAATTGGGAAGAAAATGATTGTTCATTAAGAAGCATTAGGAAAATATACCAATTTAAGAGTTCCAAATGTGAGTGTAGTTATTACTTCAATGGCCTTTAATTCACTGGATTCTGAAGTGACGATATTCTCTGCAAAATGTGTCAAAAGCACATGTGAATTAGTGCCTTATTAGGAATTAGTACTCTGTTTGTTCACCCAGCACCAAAGGCCAAAATGCGATTTGCTTTTTGACAGCTTTAGGCATGTCAGGGCATCCAGGAAGCCAAGTAATGTGGGATGGCAGCCAAGGTTTATTACATGAACCCAATGGGAATATGGCTTATTCACTTATTTATTTATTTGCTTGTTTGTTTGTTTACTCACTTATTTACTTAGCATATTGTATGAACAGGGTGGAAAAACCTCTTTCTTTGTTGTGAGACTACTAAACCTAAAAATAGATGATTTCACATATGGAGCAGACTTTACTCAACCTGGAATAGAATAGAATCTTTATTGCAATCAGTAACAAATACATAATAAAACTTGATACCATAAACGGATTACATATATGAAAGAAAATATCATAAAATAAATTGGGCATATTGCTATGCATTTTACGTATATACTATATTGAAAGTAACAGAATCACATGTATCCAAAAGTAAAAAAATGTAAACAGAACTGGTTGGGACACCCAGGGAGTTTGTCTAAGCGTGGGGTTATCAACTCTAAATGAGTAGCAACAAAAACAAATGATAAAAAAATGTGACTTACAGTTTCAGCAGCCCATCTGTCATCTGGGCAAAGCCTTGCCCCTTTTATATCCCTTCTGAGCCAGACAGAATGCCTTCTTGTATTTGGAGAGTATAGTTTAGCTTAAATATTTGGTGTGTCTAAAGAGGGCAAAGGAATTGGCTGGTAATTGATCCTTAGAAAGAGTTGCCTAGTCTAGTTGAATATTATCACCCTTAATCTGTTGCCTCAAGCCTAGTATTGCACATTTTGTGCCTGAGTCTGCTGAGAATCCAAGGTTTTTTCACACATCTGCTCCAGATGTGTTGGGACTTTTTATTTCCTGTCTTCTCTGACAAGGTTTTCATGATCTTTGCAAGATCACAGTAGTAACTAGCTGCTCTTCCCCACCCCTCCCCTAACTTTTCCAGTCTCATCGGAAGTTTTCAGCTCCCAGGCATGGCCACCTGGGCTTCCTTCCTCATAAGAGGAGCCGCCGACATCGAGGAAAAGTGAAGAGTTGGCCCAAGGATGATCTCAGCAAACCAGTCCACTTGACAGCCTTCCTGGGCTATAAAGCTGGCATGACTCACATCCTGCGGGAACTTCATAGATCAGGACTAAGTATGTGCCACGTTTGCTTAATTCTATTCCTGACTTTCATGGACCTCAGCAACTGGAAGGGGCTACAGTGGCCACCAAGTCCAGGCAAATTAAAGCATGCCTGACAAGTGGCCCACAATCAGGCTTCTATTTGAACTCACCCATAAAAGGGCAGACCACTGTTACCTTAGGTACTGGTTTCTTTGGCAAACTACTCTTTCTTGTAAGAGTTTGTTTTCAAATTTAATACCAAGTTTTTCCTCCTCCTCAAGGTAAGTTCACTCCTGGTTACATCCATGTACTTAGGGAAGTCGTTTGCTTCTTGTTCTCTTTAGTCTTTTTGTCTAGTTACCACACAGGTTTCCTGATGCTCTCCTAGTCAAATACAGGACTCACAGCTCTGTCTTTGCCTAGGTTATTCCATGTCCCACATGCTGGCAGGATCTTGGCCTATTTGAAATCTCCAGGCGCTTGAAAAGTGTTATCATGTTCCATCCTTACTTTCAGCCTTCTTGTGAGGTCCCAAGAACCAGAAACAACATCTGGAATTACTTCTGACCAGTTTCTTGTATTGTTCTTCACTTACAGAGAGAATCTTGTCAGAATAAAGCAACTATTTGCTTTATTGGATATACTTTATGGATATAAAGTATATCCAATAAATACTTTACACTATGGATATACTTTAGAAATAATTGGGGGGAGCTGTTTTTTAACCCTCTCTCCTGATCAAACTTTCCATGCTCCACTGCCCCTCCCTCCTGGGAATCCAGACTACATTCCACCACAGGTCTCTTCTCAAGGCCAAACATACCCAGTTCCTTTGATCTAATCTTCCTCATTCCTTCCTTTTATCTCTTCCACTTTCAATCCTTCCTAGAATATTGTGCTCAGACCAGGGCAGAGTATTCAAGGTAGTACTCTGCCCTGGTCTGACCAAGGCAGAAGAGAATGGAAGTATCTGATACTTGTGGGAAATGGAAACACTCAAGGTATACATTTCTATGTGACTTATTGTGGGGATTTTTTTTTTTGTAGAAAAACTCTACCCAAACCAGCCTCTCCCATAGTGTTGAGACTGCCACCCATGTGCAGAGGGTACATGCTGGTGTGGAAGGAGGCCCTCACCAATGGATATCAAATCGGAAATACATTGAACTGCATAAATATTGTATTTATCTGTGGTTGCTTTTTGTTAATTCAACAAACCTCAACTGGCTGGGTTTTTGCAACAATTTAGCCATAACCCATGGTTTATATTTTACAATGGTAGGCTTCATATGTCCCCTCCCAAAGAACTATAAATCATGGTTTGTGAAAGAAATCACCTTATGGCTTAGTTGGATATGGGAACCCCACCATGAAGCCTTCCTGGATCACATCCTCAGTCTTTTTCCTCCTTTAATTTCCAGAAATCTCTAAACGAGAGGAAGTGGAAGCTGTCACTATTATCGAAACTCCGCCATTGGTGGTCGTTGGGCTAGTGGGCTATATCGAGACGCCAAGGGGGCTGAGAAATTTCAAAACCATCTTTGCAGAACATATAAGTGATGAATGCCGAAGACGTTTCTACAAGAACTGGTGAGGAGGGGGTCAGTGTGAGTGAGCAAGGGTAAAGCTCTACTTAAACAGGAAAACTTTGACTCATAGCTGTGCTTTGGAAATGCTTTGTAGGCTAAAAGTGTAATTATGAATACACACCCAATGTTTTGGAACAGTAAAATCAGTGGTTCTGCTGGACTGTAGGTATTTGAAGGATTGAAGGACTAGGAGAGACATGATAGCAGTGTTCCAATATCTCAGGGGTTGCCACAAAGAAGAGGGAGTCAAGCTATTCTCCAAAGCACCTGAGGGCAGGACAAGAAGCAATGGGTGGAAACTCATCAAGGAGAGAAGCAACTTAGAACTAAGGAGAAATTTCCTGACAGTGAGACCAATTAATAAGTGGAACAACTTGCCTGCAGAAGTTGTGAATGCTCCAACAGTGGAAATTTTAAAAAAGATATTGGATAACCATTTGTCAGAAGTGGTGTATGGTTTCCTGCCTAAGCAGGGGGTTGGACTAAAAGATCTCCAAGGTCCCTTCCAACTCTGTTATTCTATTTTCCTGGCTACCAATTGCAATTTTTACTGTGATGAAACTTTCTTAAGTATATTCAGCACAATTAAAATATAGCTGAATTCTCATACAATGTAAGACTTCGCTGCTTTGGGAACAGAGCAGGGGTGAAATCTAATTTTTTTTGCTACCGGTTCTGTGGGCGTGGCTTAATTAGTGGGCGGGGTTTGGTGGTAAGGTGACTGGGTGGGCGTGGCCAAGTCAATGTCACTTCTTTGCCCTTTTCTAACCTACAAAACACAACACAACACAACACAACACAACTGGCTCACCCACAATGTAAAAGCAGCTGTGCTAGTCTCAAAATGGCCCTTGCAACAAGCAGGAACCTCACATAGCCCCCAAAAGCCCCAAAAAACAACTTTCACACTTTACACACACACAACACAACACAACACAACACAACACAACACAGCAGGCTCACTCACAATGTAAAAGCAACTGTGCTAGACCCAAAATGGCCCCTGCAACAAGCAGGAACCTCACACAGCCACAAAAAGCCCAAAAAACAAACTTTCACACTTTACACACACAAAATTCCACATACAGCTTTGTGAGATTTTGTGTGTTTGTGTACTTAGAGAGAAACACACTAAATCTCAGAAAGCTGCACAAATATTATTTTATTTTATTTTTATTTTTATATAAAAGCAGCTAAATTTAAAACTTCCTAAACTTTAAATGGCTAGGTCTAAAAAAAGTACAACTAAAAAAAAACCCCAATTAACTATTTTTTTTAAAGCTCCTAAAGGGGAAAAAAACTTACCCAATAGAACAGGGGTCTCCAACTTTGGCAACTTTAAGACTTGTGGACTTCAACTCCCAGAATTCCTCAGCCAGCTTTGCTGGGAGTTGAAGTCCATAAGTCTAGGCAGGCAGGCAGGCAGGCAGAAAGAGCTGCTCACCGATGAGCTTGATTGCAGGCAGGGAGATTCAGTTGCTTGCTGATGCATGGATTGCAATCGTCATGCGATCAGCAGCTAAGGTAGGTAGGCAAGCTGGAGGCTGGGGTGGGGGGAGAAAAAAAGAAACTTTTCTTTTCTTTTACATGGCTCTGGCGATCCAAGCTGAGTTGCCTGATTAGCAGGCAACTCAGCTGGGATGTCAGAGCTTGGCTGGTCAGAGCCATTTAAAAGGAAAAAAAAGGCTCTGATGATCGCGGGGCTCAGCTGGGCATGGGGGGCGGGGGCAGGGATTTTTGCTACCGGTTCTCCCAACTGCCCGCCGCCATCGCTACCTACTCGCCCGAGCCGGTCCGAACCGGGAGCATTTCACCCCTGGAACAGAGCCCTGAATTGTGAACCTCCATGTTAAATCAGAATATCAGTTTAATATTTTCATAAACCAGTCTCAGAATTATGGGTGTTACCTGAATGTAACATCTGGTGGCTTTGATAGGACTTGTCCTTCTGGGAGGTGAGTATCCAACCGTTACCTGAAGAATCTGAAGTTGAGCCCCACTGTCTGTGGATTGGTAAAACCCCACTGGAGCAAGGGGCTTCTTGCTATCCTGCTCTCAAGCCATGGAGGCTGGCGGTGGATATCAGGACAGGCTCTGCACTGTTTCCTTGCCAAAGCCTGGTTGGAAATAATTCCTGTTGTCCTTGGATCTGATTTTTCCCTGCCTTTTCTTTTCAGGCACAAGAGCAAAAAGAAGGCATTCACTAAGTACTGCAAGAAATGGCAAGATGAGACTGGGAAGAAGCAGCTGGAGAAGGACTTTGTGTCCATGAAGAAATACTGTAAGATCATCCGTGTCATTGTGCACACCCAGGTGAACATTTTCCACATGTCTCTGGAACACTCAGATGAATACATCTGGGAGGGTTGTCTGGCCCACTTGCTAGTCAAGCTCACTCATGATTTGTTACTGGTTCTTTCTGCTTGATTGGACAAAGTCTTCATTGCCAGATGTTGTCTGCTGTGCAGTGTTGGTTTCATTTTCAGAATCTGAATGCTTTTCCCTGAAGGACAGCTGGGGTTCCAGCTCTGAGCATGCACAGAATTTCTATCTCTCACTTCTGGTTTTGATTAAGAAACACAAACACAACATGTTTAAATGAAACCAGAACAGAGAATTCAGTAATTTTTGGTTCAGCACTGCAAAGTCTAGGTCCTGGTTGAAGTGCTCCAGACTTCCCACAAACACAGCCCCGCTCTTCAAGTCAGTTAAAGCAGCCTCTGAGTTGGGGGTTGGGGTCTGGGGTGGCTTCTGCCTTGGTTTGAAAAATCTGCTGCTGCTTTCAGGAGTTACTCAAATAACGGCAGCCTCACTAGTCCAGTCTTTGGGTCACACAATGGCCCACTGGAGGCATTGAGGAAACCCCCAAGCCAACAATGGAGGGTGGGAGCCCTCTTTCCTGTCCTTATACAGCAGCATTCTTGATGGCCTGATGCCAAGGGGAGGGGAGACAAGAGCCATCAGTTTTAGTGGCCATTGGGGGCCTAGCCCTCCAGGTATTCACCCAGATCTCTTTTCAAACTAACTGATCGCAACTGATGGCAAGAAATTACACCATTCTAATTTAAGCAATTTCTTCACTACAGCGTCTTCATAGCAGCCTCACATAGTACACAGAACACAGAATAATGGGGTTGGAAGGGACCTTGGAGGTCTTCCAGTCCAACCTGCTGTTCAGGCAGGAGATCCAATACCATTCCAGACAAATGATTGTCCAATTTTTGGCTTCATAGACCTCTTTTGTTCCAGGTTAGAGAGCCCTCATCTCTGCCATACTTCTTCAAAGGAGAGGGAGGCAAAGGAATCTGACCCTCAGAGCCCCCACTGGTGATCCAGGAAAGGCCCAGGCTGGGAGACCCCAGAGAGCAGCACAGTTGAGAATCCCTCTCTCTCCACCATGTAGCCCAAGTCAGAATGGTGGCCCAATTACTCCCTGCAGCTAATGAAGGAACATTTGACAGTGAATTCTGTATTGGAACTTTCCATTACAACCCAATTTCTATAGCCTCAACTCTCCTGCTCAGAAGACTGAGTAGGTCCCCTTTTTCACTGAACATTGGTACTCTCGCAATGTAGTTGGCCAGGTGAGAGAGAGCACATGAATCCAAAAGGAAGTGCTCTCCCTGATCCCAAACACACCTATTCCCACATACTAAGCTTCTCAAGTGTGTCATGGAGACGATAGCCGCAAAGTCCCAACCCTTGCAGTAGCCAAATTCTGCAAGCAGGTGGAAGGTTCGGAGAGGCTAGAACTCCTGCACCTTTCCTTTGTGGCCAGTTAAGTGTTGAACATGAACATTTGCCACCTCTGCTGCATGGTGCAATTTTTGAGGTTTTTTGGTTGCAGATGAAGCTCCTGCCAATGCGGCAGAAGAAAGCACATATTATGGAGATCCAGCTCAATGGAGGCTCTGTGGCAGAGAAAGTTGACTGGGCTCGGGAGAAGCTGGAAAAGCAGGTGTCTGTGCACAGTGTCTTCAGCCAGAATGAGATGATCGATGTCATTGGAGTCACCAAAGGGCATGGGATGAAAGGTAGGAGGGAGCAGACCTGAAATCCGGAAACTTCTTGGATCAAAGGCTGATAGGAAGTAGTATGACTACAGATTGTATTCCAGATGAATGACTCTGGAAGCCATTCAAGATATGGGGAAAAGTAGCTTTTTCTTCATTTCTGACCAGAAATATCCACACCTTCCCTGGAGCCTGATAGGTTCCATCCTCAACCTCACTTCAAATTCTTTTAAGATTTTTAAAACGACTGGATGGAAAATTCTGGGAGTTGAAATCACACATCTTCAACCTACCAAAGTTGAGAAGCATTGGTTTAAAGTTTGGCTTGAAGCATCCCATGTTTTCTGCTGGAATAATATTTTAGAAGAGGGTCAGGAGACTACTATGCCTCAAAGGAGGCAATGGCCCCTTTAATGAGTGGTTACACCCCATGTTGTGTTGGGGGAGGTGATCAGCTTGCCATTAAAAGCCAGTTGGTAGAGAGCATTTTGGGGAAAGGGAGGAACAAACCAGTTTGTGGCAGCTGGCAGGACTGATTGTTGGCATAGACAGAAGGGTGTGGTGTAACCGCAACAGGAAATGAAAACCAGGACAGCCATTTTTTGAGAGTGCCTACAATACACTTCCATAAGTGTATTGTAGGCATGGTTATGATTTGTTCTTTTTCAGCCCCTTTTCTTCTCTAATAAAGGGATGCTGATCCTCAATCGAGGAAAGCCAAGTCAGGAAAGAGGAATGGCTGACATGACAGAGATGCTGTTTATTATTGTAGGGTAGAATTCAGTGATGGAATCTTGGAAGCCTACTGCACCTTATACCAAACAAAAGAAAGGATTTTGAATTTCTCCTGAGTTTCACTTTCTCAGTTGTCTTTTCTAAAACTCTTCTTTTAATGCTTCATTCATTTCCTCTCCATCCAAAGGCTAGATTGTTTTGTCCTTCTAGATATTGCAGGTAGTCCTTGGCTTACAAACATTCATTTAGTGACGTAAAGATACAATGGCATTGCAGAAAGTGGCTTAACACCTAGTTGCAGCATCCCCACTGTCATACAATCAAAATCCAGATACTTGGCAATTGGCATTAGGATGGCTATGTCAACTGTCCAACTAGCGCACCCAAAACAAGTAAGCACTCTCAGGAGCTTTGAATTCCCAAAAGTGAAATTTTATTGGATATACCATTTGGTACTGGAGAATCAGAACCGGCTCTGGTTTTCCCATGCAAATGTTTGCCTAATGTGATCACATTGTCCAATTATGAGATGTCTTTTTGTTATGGGAACAGTCTACCTCCTTCTCAAGCACCTGCAGTTGTGACCTTGATGGCTTCCAGGCTCTCATGGTCCATACACAAATTCTCAGTACTCCATCCCACCCTTCCCTCCCCCCAGTTCACTGGCAAATTGAATAGCGGTAAGGTTTGAAAGAAGCAAAGTGGTTCAATCTTGACAGGCTGCCTGTCCTGGGGTCATGTGATCGTCAGTTGTGACTTTCCCAAATCGCTTTCAACAAGCAGAGTCTATGGAGGAAGCTCATAGGGGGAAGCCATTCACTTACCAACCATATCGTTTACTTAACAACTATGGTGATTTGCTTAATGGCCGGCAGCAAAAAGGGTCATAAAATTGTGGAAACTCACTTAACAACCACATAGTGATGGAAATTCCCATCCCAATTATAATATGGTATGGTAGCTATAACTAAAACTCCAGCAGCCCCAACCGTGTGGCTAATGGTGAAGGAGGGCAGTTCAGCCGCATCTGGAAGGCCACCAGTTTCCCATCCCCACCTCAGACACTTAGAGGTTCATCATCCTGTCTCTAACCTCAAGGCTGCCTTTCTACAGGGGTGACGAGTCGCTGGCATACCAAGAAACTCCCAAGGAAGACTCACAAAGGCCTGCGGAAGGTTGCCTGCATTGGAGCCTGGCACCCTGCCCGGGTGGGCTACTCGATTGCCCGGGCTGGCCAGAAGGGCTACCATCACCGCACAGAACTCAACAAGAAGGTATGATTCCCCTCCAGCCAATTCATTTGAAGCCCAAACACACAAACAGCCTCCAATTGCACCCACCTCTGGCGGAATCAGAGTGTCTTGGGAACAGAAGCTGCAACCCACTGATCCATCTTTCCTCCTCACCCACCAGCTGTTTGATATATAAGGCTGGTAGGTGTGACGTTATCGGGCTTAGCAAGTGCATGGCAAGGCTCATCTGGGAGCAGAGAATTCAGGATTAGACCCATTTTATAAATATGGCAGGACTGCAACTTCCCGTTCCTTGCTGAAATTGCTGTTAAAATTCTGAGAAAGCCTATGCAAAGCACACCTCTAATTCTGCATCTTCTGCAAGATGGGAGGGGGGGGGGTGTTTTTACCAAGAAACTGGTAGCAAGAAACAAACAAGGTCCAAGATTTTAGGAGAGCTTCTTTATGTCATTTTTGCTTGGCCTTCTGTAGGTGAATACTTAATACTACAAAACTGATATATAACAATTGAAGTCTTTCACAACTGAAGCCTCCCCTTTTAATATAATCAATTACATAATTTATTATATAAAACCTAAGTTATATTTGCAATCCAAAGCTATCTGTCCCATATAATCTACCTTTTTTTTCCTTCTTGCTTTCCTCTCTATAGATGATTCTTACAACATTAGTGGTAGCCTTTAGTGCCATATTTTGAAAGTGCGCTTGCAAAGGCTATCGGTGGATTTAAAAGACCAGGAAAACTTTTCTGAAAAGGGCAAATTGATTTTGTGTTCTGTTGCCTAGAAAGCTGCAGGATATGTCCCTGAAGTCTCCAGGCGTCAACTCAGAGGAGCCCTTTGCTTCTAGAATTCATAAGACGCAGCTTTCAACAGCTCAGAGGAAATCTGATTTTTTCGGGGCAGGAGGGACCGGAACAATGCAGCATCTGGTGCCTCCTTTGTGCTGATGTGGCCTGTAAGAGCAGGGTTGAGGGCCAGGAATCAAGTGTGCAAAAGGAGACAGGGCTTAGGCATCACTGGGCAAGGTAGACGTGGCCATTCTCTTTCATTCTCCTGTTTGTTGGATAACTTGGAAAATCTTTTTTCTTTTAGGTTTATCGCATTGGCCGTGGGATCCACATGGAAGATGGCAAAGTCATAAAAAACAATGCATCCACCAATTATGACCCAACAGAGAAAACCATCACTCCACTGGTAAGGAGGCCAGAAGGAAAGTTAGTTCTTCTGGCTGGAGAATGATCCTTTGGATGTCTCATCACGAATCCTTCTCTTCATGCACCATCTTTTTAAGAAGATGAAAACCTATGCTTTAAAGCAATATCTTGTCTTCAAAATCCATTTTCCCCCAAATGCATTCTAAATTTCTAATGCTGTTCTGGGAACAGTGGGAGAATTTTTGGAAGCACCAGGGGACTTTCTTTGACCAAGTCCTGACCATTATTTCAGCTCAGGAGATGCACAGGTGAGATCCCTGAGTAGGTGCAGGGCTTCCCTATCTTGGATCACTTGATGGAAAAGTCTCTTCTGTGCTGGAGACAAGGCTAGAAAATGGTGGCTCCCGGGGAAAGCTATCTGGGTTTGATGGGTTAAATAGATCAGAGGACTCAGCCCAGCTGTAGGCAGTTTGGTACAAAGGAAATTCAGGATTGTCTACCAGGAAGGGATCAGAACAATCAAAATGGGGGTCATGACTACACAGTTGAAGACCAACCCCCTTTTTTTACTTATGCCACGCATGCAGTTTCAAATTTATTTTAAGTTTAAAAATCCACATGGAATGCTATAATTGTAGGAGCCCTGCTGGCGCAGAGGTTAGAATGCAGCATTGCAGGCTGACTGTGCCCACAGCCAGGAGTTTGATCCTGACTGGCTCAAGCCTTTCATCCTTCCAAGCAGTGGTGGGTTGCCCCCAGTTCGGACCGGTTCTATAGAACCGGTAGTAAAACCGGCAGGAGGCTCTGCCCACCGACCCCGATGTCATCAGAAAGCTTCTGCGCAGAAGCGTGTGCGTGCGTTGCCTCATTGCGAACCGGTACTAAAGGTCAGTAGAACCCATCCCTGCTTCCACGGTTGGTAAAATGAGGACCCAGATTGTTTGGGCAACAGGCTGACTCTGTAAAGCTCTGTGGAGTAGTATATAAGTCTAAGGGCTATTGCTATTGCTAGGAAGCAACCTGCTGCTTTTGGAATTTTCTGCACATTAAGTACCATAATGCTTTAGGATTCCATTTGTGCCCATTGATGTGTTTATAAAATGACTGCAACTAGAAAATGGGAATAAGTTGACAGGGGGCATTATAAGCATCACTGAAAGTATTCCAGTCACGGCATGTTTACAATTGGCCATCCTTGCAAAGGCAGCCATTTTGTGCATGGTGAAATTTCTTTGTGGCAGCCATTTCTTTTGAATGCCGTGACATGCTTCCCAAGTGTCAGACGTATCTTCTGGGGAGGACCACTATCTATCTGGGGTCATCAATGAATAAATACCACCCTCATGCAGATGTCGATTCTACCTTTCTGTCTTCCAGGGTGGATTCCCTCAGTACGGAGAAGTCAACAATGACTTTGTCATTGTGAAGGGCTGTGTGTTGGGTACCAGGAAGCGGGTGCTGACCCTGAGGAAGGTGAGGGCTTGACTGAGTGTTGTGAAGGGCAGTCCAGGGATGAAGGACAAGTGTGGCTCTTTGGCGGGAAGGTTGATCTGTGGGAGTTGACCGATCCAAAGTGGTTTCTGCTGCTCTCCAGAGGGTGAGGCTGGGAGGATTCAGCCTGAGCAAATCAGCATTTCAGCTGCTTTGGGAGCAGGGCAGCAAACCTGGAAGCCATCAACAAGAGGCTCAGCAGCGCCATTGCTTGCACACTAGAGTCTTCTGCAGGGATCACCACAAAATGGGATGGGAAATTTACTATTTATTAATTATTTGGATTAAAATGGGATTTTATTGTACTTGTTTCTTAACTTGTGTTCGCCACCCTGAGTCCTTCGGGAGAATGGCGGCATATAAATACATGTAATAAATAATAAATAAATAAATTCAGTGAAAGCCCTACAGAAATGGCCTGAATTTCTCAGAGGAAACACAGGAGGTAGTAAATGTTAGGAACAAAAAGAAATATATTTAGTCATCATTATCTAAGTCAAGTATCTAGGCCCCCTAGACTGTACCTAGTTTTGGGCTCAATTTTGCCTACGAAAGGCTTTTGCAATCTTTATTTATTCATTAAATTTGTTTGCCACTCCTCTTGCCGCGATGTGCAATGATTGTGCATTAGTTAAAATACATTCTGAGCACTAAATTTAAGTGAGGGGCATGGGAAATTGCCCCATAGATTTGTAGCTGCCCTCTGCTATGAACTCCAGCTCCCAGATCATGTGCACTTATGACACTTATATCCTGATTTTTCTCAAGGAGATCAAGGCAGCAGAAATGAGGGTCCCCCTTCACTTCACTGCTGCCACATACCCCTGAGCTGAGAAAATGTGCCTGGCCCAGAGACTCCTGCTGAGCTTCCAGGGCTGAGGAGGGAGCTGCCTTCCCGGCCCAAGCCCAACATTTTGATCTCTGCCCTGTGCTGGTTTCCTGGAAAGAATCCAGCCAGTGTTTGGACCTGTTGCCTGGAGAAGCCTCCACCATTCTGGGGCTCTGAACTGCCTCTCCTCTGGGCTTCTGCTGTAACCCTTTCCTCCTGCTTCCCCAGTCCCTTCTGGTCCACACAAGCCGAAAAGCTCTGGAGGCCGTGGAGCTGAAATTCATCGACACCACCTCCAAGTTTGGCCATGGCTGCTTCCAGACAGCCCAAGAGAAGCGAGCCTTCATGGTGAGTTTGTGCTGGGAAATACCCCTCCCAAGCTGGAGAAACGAACTGGTGGGAGTTCTCTATATGAAACCATGATTTGTTTCGGTCATCCAAGATTGGAGGAGTTCTGTGGGAAGTATTCTGTTGGTCCATTCACAAATTAACTTCAGGATTCAATCCAAACTGGTTATTTCCTTTAGCAGCTGGAAACCCGCCTTTTAATTAAGAAAGGAAGCAGTGAGATTCAGAGTGAGATTATTCTGGAACAATTTTTCTGTTTATTTTCATTATATATGGTAGTAAAGCTTGAATTATCCCTCTATTTCAAGTTTTTATTCTAAGGACACCTGGGAAACCTATTTCCATTCACAAATTGTTCTAGTGCAGCTTAATCTCCTTTCTGTTCCCAATGAGGTTTAGTTCTAACAATTATGTTTTTAATCAAGATTCTAAAGATTTATGAAATGTTCTCATCAGCTTCTTTTCTTTGTTGCTAAACAATAATATGGAAGCTCTTTCTTTGGCCTCATCTCCACCCTCCTTGTCTGAGACACCCTCCTTTCGCTGTCAAAAGAGAGCCTCCATCTTGACCCCAGCAGAATTGGATCAAAGTGACCCAGAAAGAAAGGTTTTCGGCCAGGAAGTCTAACATAGCGCCATGCAAGCCCCAGTTTCCAGGGAGGAGAAACCTGAGGGTAATAGGCACAGCTGTAATTGGCCTCTGCCAGACAGACCCCTCCTAGCTGCTGTGGGGATCAGCCTTGGGAGAAAATCTCTGGCCAAGCCAAGTTTGCATTTTTCTTTGTGGACTTGGACAGCCTAATCCATCGCTGAGAGGACCTCCGTTGCTTAGTTTTTCCCCTTCCAGCAGGTGTGCCAGGGAGGGGAGAGCCTAGGGATTTCCTTTTTGCCATATGGAAGACAGAAGAGAATTGCATGTAAAAATACATTAAATTTTGCAAACTAGAATTCTTCCTTCTCGGCAATTGGACATGGCAGGTGTGGGGGAACATGGAGAGGCAACCTCGTCCCCCTCTGGCTTCAGACATGGTCTTTGTTTCCTTTCTTCCCCTCTGAGGAAGGCTCCTCTCTTCAACCATCTTGGACATTTTGATCACAATCCAATATAGGCCACCATGCAGAATTTTTCTTAAAAGGGGGCACAAAGGCCACGGGTAGGGCTTCTGCATAATTCTCATTTACAGATCCTGCAGTTTAGCCCTAAGTGATGGTAAGACAGGCCTTATAAACTGCTATGATATGAAACGAATGAACAAGGATAAATGTTTTCCCTTTCACGTGTGGCTAATGTTTGGGGTCCCCAAGAAAAACTGAACAGGGGAAGATTCAGGCTACTGCAGAAGTTCTTTAAAGATCACAAAACCAACTGAAATGTAATCACCTTTTTTAAAATGGAGAAAAATCTGCCCAACTACTGTTTCTTCCTGGAAATGTGGAATGAAGTCATAGAAAAATGAATCAGGTATTACTGTATTGTTGAACCTTTCTTCTCCTATCTATCTTCTTCTTCTTGTGCCATATCCATCATCGGACACTGGCAATCCTATCATACCTATCTGGAAGACTAAAATGCCTCCATTGCTCAGTCAGAGCCATCACATTAACTGATATTCAGAATAACAGTTGGAAGGGACCGTGGAGGTCTTCTAGTCCAACCCCCTGCTCAAATAGGAAACTATACCATATCAGACAAATGGTTGTCCAATCTTTTATTTAAAACCTTCAGGGTTGGAGCCCCCACAACTTCTGGAGGCAAGTTGTTCCACTGATTCATTGTTCTAAGTGTCAGGAAATTTCTCCAGTTAGAACTTCTCCTGACAGTTAGACTTCCAAAGGCAGTTTTGCAGTGTTTAGGTGGGGCCTCGCTGCAACCTGACTCTGAAGATGGCCAAGAAATAGAACTGCAACATCTGGACTGCAAAAAGTCAGACCATCCCCAGATGGCAGCAGAGATCTGGATAATATGAAATATTTGCTGCCATTTAGGGGTGAAGTTGCAGCTCAAATAGCCCACCCGAGGACATGTCTAGAACATATGAAGGAATATACAGAGGTAAGGCAGGCCTTTCCACAGAAATCCATCAGGAGCCCTTGACATACAATTTTGCCCATTTAATTGTAGCAGTCTGAGATGTTGACAACCACTTTTCTTCTGCTTTTGATTTCAGGGCCCTCAGAAGAAACACCTGCTGAAAGGGAAGCCAGAAACTCCAGAGGAATTATAAAGGTGTTTCTCTGAAGGAGATACTTCTAAATTGTTTGCGTCTGGAGCTATATCAAATATGAGTGCAAACATGGTCTCTGTTTTTGAAATGGAATAGTTTTTGTCAGTCTTAAGAAAAAAGATCACTGAGTTGAAAGAGAAAACCCAATATTTATAATAAGGGTTATACAGGGAGGATTAAAAAAACCAAAATGGCACTTGTGATAGCATGATTGAAGTGGTTGTCATCTTGACTTTTTTTACCATTTCACCCATGACAATTCTGAACAACCCAGATATTTGCTTATATTTTTGCACTTTTGGCTGGTGCTAATAAAGGTATTGTCATATTATGTAAGATTGATTTTTTTCTGTCGCTTTCTGAAATCTCTCAGGACTTTATTGCAAAACTGATCACTTATGTGAGCATACAGTATATCTGGCCAAATGAGCAGATGTTTGGTCAAAGCGTTAAAGAGAAAATTCTAGTAATTAGGTCAATCATTTTCCATGAAAGTAATTTTATCCCATTTGAAATTCTTGATTGAATTGGTTCCTTAGTTCTTCATCTATTAAAACCTTTTTTTAAAAAATAAACAACAAGCAGTTTGATAGCGAATATTATTTTTTCAGGTTACCAGAGGAACGTGCATGAGATTTGTGGGGGGGAATCAAGGGGGAAGTGACATCATCACAGGTGATATGCCTTGTACCTGACATCTATGAAACACGATTCATCCAGCAATCTGAGGTGAAGATAATGCTACTCCCGTGGCTTCCAACCACATCACAGGAAATTTTGATTTTCAAGGCAATGTTCTTGGGCATTAAATTGTATACTCAACACACTTTGGAAGCCTTTGAAGGATAGTAAAAATGGATGAACTCCTAAATAGAAATGTAATTTCTGGCCAATATCTATAAACAATATTTAAGATGTGTAAAAAGTCAGTTAAAAATCAGTTAACCTTTGCAAAAATAACTATTTATAAAAATACTGTCTCAAAGTTAGCTTGCGTTTAAAGTTTAAAGCTTAAAAAAGAATTTCTATCCCAAATGGATCAGTTGTCACAGGAAACATACTTGTGTGAAACTCAAAAACAGGATAAGCTCTTTCTGCTGCAGCTGTTTTATGTCACTGCTAATGTCAACTAGTTAAAGCCTTTGAACAAGAAAAGATGTTTTGAAATTTCATTTTTATGCCAATCTCTAGATCTCAAGTAAATAGTCTTTACCCATGAAACATGAGGATTTTTTTTAAATTTTGGAAACAGCATGACCATTAGGGTGAATTAGCTATATTTAATCATGATTTGTTGACTAAATTCAAATCCATACTACATAAGTGGTGCCAGAATGCTTTAATGTTTAATTTCTCTGTCATATGAGTAATAATAATTTATTAAATGTATATACTGCCAAACTCCCAATGATTCTGGGCAGTTAGGAACAAGTGCAGCAGGAAAGGAAAAAAACCCACTTCAAGGACCGATTCGAGCCTTTATTTTCTTTCACTTTCCCTCCTGTTCTTGCAGTCATCGGATGTATATTATCCCAGGTTGGCAAAGCCCTTAGGGAAGTGTCTAGTTCACTAATGTCAGCTTGTGCATTGCTATTGCTTTCTTGAAACGATGCATTGTGAAGAGGATAAGAGGCCTGGTGGAGCTGCTATGTGGCCCTGTGCCTCCCCTTATCAGCTTCAAGTCTCCTGCAGTTTGCTGTGGGTGTAGATAGGAAGACAATCCAGGAGGGTGGGGATAAAGACAGGTAAAGAATCCATGCACTCAGGTAGAAAAGCACCCTGGTCCCCTGGTGGCAGCCGTTGGTTCTTTGACTTAATGCTCAGAGAAGAGGTTCCCTGTCAGCGTTCACCTTCTTCCTGGCCCCAGGAGTTTCTGAACTGAAGCATGTTTTAAAACTCAGACTAGGTCATGTTTCTTTTGAGACCTTTGGATCAGGACAGAGGAGTGTTGGTGGCTCCCTTGCCCTGTATTCTTAGTCTTCAGCCTATACTGCGGTCAGAGTGAGTTCAGAATCAAAGCTTCAGTACCCAGCTTTCAGACTGCCAATAGCCAAGAAACAGGGAGAGGCTGTAAATAGCCCAGATTGTTCACTCACTCCTTTTTTTCAAAAACTGTCAGTCAAGCATCTTTCCTTCTTCAAGGCTCAAATGGAAATTGCTGAGCAGTTTTGAGTCTTGGAGTCCCCAACTCTAATTGGCTTCTATCTCCCCCACCCCCGTTATCCCTTTTGCACTAGCTGAAGGGGTCTTTCACTCTTATTTCCTCCTTCACAAAGACCCTGTTCAATGTTATTGATGGTTCTGCCATTTAACTGATACTTAAAACTAAAGTTGCTTGCAGAGATGCAACGTGGAGAGAATTCCAAACAGCCAGGGGTCTTGGCATCTCTGCTGCCTTTTCTTTCTTGACCACGCAGGGTGCTTGTAACCTACCTGGAATACCTTCTTCTTCAATAAGCCATATCCAGACAAATCTCCTTCATCTGAAAACAGTTCCAGAGAGAAGAGAGGCCAGCGGGGAGACTTGGAGGAGAACCTTTATTCTCAAGCACAGGTTTCCCTATGACCAGGTATCTGGTTAGCTCCCTCAAGAGATTGAGCAGGTCAACCACCAGAGGACAGCACCTCACATGTTTCTGACATCCTCAGCTAGAAGTTCTTCCTGTGGTCCTTCTGTAAGAGGCTGGGATTCCAAACCAGAATGCATCAGAGGTAAGATGATATCATCCATATTTGGCATCACTAAAATTTTCTGATGGGAAGGAGGAATGAAAAATTAAAATTAAATCTGCCTGGAGGTTTGCAAGGCTTGGTGAAGTATTGGAGCCTCCTACACTCTTACAGTGAGACGATGAGTATGGCTGTGGAAGGGAAGCCAATGGTGTATGTGGTGGAACTGAACGTTTCAGAGACTGCACAACTACAGTTAATAAGGACAGCTCCTTGCTATTGCAACAAGTTCCAGGCCTCTCAACGGTAGAATGACCGGTGGCAGCTGCTTGGCTTAGTCATTTAAATTATTTCATCCCCATCTTTCTATTCTTGAGTGTGCACAAGAGAGTACACTTTAGCTACTGCAAACAATAATTAAAAGGATCCAGATTAAGCAAAGAGGAAGAGGGTTGCACACTTTGCAGGCAGAATACATCCCTAGCTCGATTCAGAAGTAAACACTGCAACTTTCAATGTTAATTAATGCCTTTCAATGTTAATTAATAATTAATTAATACTAATTAAGTAGCTAATGGAAATGTGTGTGGTAAGGAAACTTCAGACTGGAAAGCAAGTAAAGTTACAAGTAGGGGGGTCACACCTATCAACTTTTTAGCCACTTCCATCAACGATGTAGATACTGTATATGCACAACACATAAGTTTGGTCAGAATTATCTTCACTTGTTTCTTTGGTTTTGGGCATGGTTTAATAAGTTGCAAATCAACCCACTGCGCAGTTTAACAAATTGGGTGGACTCAAGAAAATGGTTTAATTCAGAACTGGGATTCAGTCATCCTGCGCTACCCAAAACCGCCACTTGTTTGCTTTTTCCTTTCTGCAGCAATTAAAAACGATGGAAGTAAAGACAAGCCAGGGAGCTTTCCACGTCATCTAAACCTCTTGCCAAATTGAACATAGAGAAATGGGTCTTGCACTTTAAAAGCCTCCTGAGGAACAGGGTTTGGCCACCACACATTAAGTTGCTTCCAGCTTGATTCCTTATCAAATGCACTCAACACCTCTTACGGCTGCAGGTTTATTGCTAAGGGACCTGAACTGAGTTCAGTTTAAGATCCCTTCATCATGGGTTACATCAACCAAATACCTGGAATTCATGCTGGAGCTTCTTCTCAATCCACTCAGTAACATGGGGGAAGGTGACTTCCCGTTCTCCTAGCTGTGGCCGAACCTTCATATCCAACTGCGGAGGGATCCGGAAGCTGTACCTGGGGCAGGGAGGCAAAAGTGATTTTACTTCCTTTCCCTCTGACGCATTCTTATACTTCCTCTGTTTTTTCTGCTGGAAGTTGGATGTTTGCCAGTAGGCAGGAAGAACATAGAATACCTCATTCACCCTTCTTTGCTCGCCTAAAATGAGACTGTGTCTGGGGATCTTATCCCAGCAAACTAGGATTAAAGGTTCTCTAGTTCTTAATGGGAGTTCAAAAGAAAGAAGGCCAAACTTATCTGTTTACAACTAGCACTCTGCCTTTTGTTACACTTCTGTCTTACTCATGGTCCAGATGTGGTTGAACGACAACTCCCAACATCTCTCAACACTGGCCTTGCCGCCTAATTTCTAGGAGTTGTACTATATTTATAGAAAACACTGAATTAAAGATGACTACATCTTTCCTTTCCTGTAAATAAATACATAAAATGAGTTACATTTGAGTAAACCCAGAGGATCTCTAGTTCTTGACGTATTGAACTAATCTCTGAAATTCTCATAAACGAAAATAAGTTGAGGTTCAGACTGAGCACAACGATGGGCCCCATCATTTCACATAGGCTGGAGACTTCTGGAATCAAATTCTATTTTGTAAAAAAATATTAAAGGTAAATGTGGAAAAATATAATTGAATGTTCTGTTCTTTGACAGGAACTGTTGCTTCGCCTTTGCTTAATCCATATGTAGAGACCATTTTCATGCCCTAGAATTCCAGAACTCAGGAGAATTTACAAGAAGGGCTACCAAGGCCATCTAAACCATTTATGAACTTTCCTTTTGCCTGCTGCTGTCCTGGCTACTGCCAGGGATATGGTGATGGGGCAGTATACTAAAAAGTCTCCATTTCTCCTTCCACATCCATGATGCCTCTCTAGGATAATGCTCAAATCTCATGCAGTCTCATCTTTGCTAGACCCAACCAGAAGGTCTGTTCTCCTACTTCTGCTCTTTGGGCACCTACCAGATTCGATCTGTTGGAGGTGGAGGGATGTTCACAGCCAATGTGCCTGTCAAATCTTGGACCTCCACAGTCAAAAGCAGGGGAGTGTTGGAGACCTCTTCCATCTTCTTCTTAATGAATTCATTTTCAGTGGCCTTCTGGAAATATTTGGACTTAGCAATCTTGTCCACAAAACGCAAAATCTTCCGACTGGTGCTACCACCACTGATGTAGCTAAGAGAAAAGTGGAAGCAGATCATCTTTGGCAGGGATTAGAAATTAATAAATCCAAATGGAGATATATTCCTTTGTTCAATCTCTATGATGAGCTACTCTCCAGGCACTGTATGACATTGGCCAAATGTGAGACATGACAAAGGTGAGTTGAGTCACAGTCTAGTTTAGGGACATAAAATTGCATAAACCCTGCTGAGTTTAAGAATGTGCTGCAACTATATTCCCTGAATTTAAGCCAAAGACAACTAAACTGGTGGTAAAGACAAATCAGAATGTTTTCAAAAGCAAGTACCAACTCAGATTGGTACTGTATGGCTGGATGACATGTAGAAACATGCACATTAACTTTGGCACCCACAAAGTGGCATTTTGGCAAAAAACTGGAATCTTGAGTCAACCACATTGAGGATCTGGCAACTGAGGCAGCTCATTGGGGATCTGCCTGCTATACTCACACCCATTTCATGGCTTCCTTGCAAGAATTCTGCCAAGAACGAATGCCTGAGAATTCCCAATTACAAGATTTTTAACCTGTTGCAGGTAGAGCCACTATTCCCTGTGGAGAACAAATTATTATGAATGGTGGATCAGGTTGGAGTACAAGTTTCTGGAGGCCCAATGAGAAACTGACACCGGTGAGTTAAAGTGTACTTCACCCCTCCTTGAGGTGGCACTCAATGCCAGACCCAAATTTGCTGTCCCATGTGTTGTTTATCTCCCGCCCCATTCTATTGCTCTGACTCAGTGTCAAATGTGCACTGTGTGAGGAAGCTCTCAATATAGGCAAGATTATTGGTTTTCTCATCTGGGTTGGCTGCCTCCACCAGTGGGGTACTGTAGCATGAATTTGGGGATATTGCCTGAGTGTCTCTAGTCTCACCAGCCTGACCTTCCTCTTTGGTATCTCCCAAGCTTCACTATCCATCAAAGAGATACACCCAAACAATACAACTGTACATTCCAAACAGATCAAGCTGCTTTAAGGATTACACACAAGACAACTAACATTGGACACTGGTCTACAAGGAGAGCTATCATTCTATTACTTACTTTAATTCACTTCTTCAGTGTCACTCTCCTATGATTGTACTAAGTGCAGTTGTACGGTTTCCTAGCATGATAGGACCTAAACAAATTTGATTGTCTTTTAACCACGAATGAAAGCAAATAATATTGCAGGATCCAATCTGGGTCAGTCTCTGGGACCAGAGGTTTTGTCTTCTGAGCTTTCAGACTTGTGCTGGCGCCCATCTTCAGCGAGCGTCTCTCTAGCTCCAGCATTGAGTCTGAAAGCTCGGAAGACAAAACCTCTGGTCCCGGAGACTGACCCAGATTGGATCCTGTCTTTTAACCATCCTGTCTTTTAATCATTCCATCATACTTTGCATGCTCCTCAAAGTGAAATATCTTCTTTCTGTTTTTCAAATGTATTCACTGCATGTTTTCCGAGATGGAAAAAGGACTGAACTCTGTGGCTTAACATCTCAAGCAGAGAGTTCCCTGCCTCATGCCTTGGACAGTGTGCCAAATGATAAGAACACAGCAACTCAGCATCTTTAGTGTCCTTGACTAAGACACTGCTCAAATAATCATATTGAAACTATGCAAAAAAATATTGGCACAGATGAAGTTCCAGAAACAGGATTAATTAACTATTTTTGATGCCTTACCAAATTGCAAATAAGAAGAAATACTTGAATCCTGCAATCAAACAACTCCACCAAAGCAGGAAAACAACCCACATCCCAGCAAGTCCACATGTCCTTCTACTCTGAAGCAGCCCAAACTGATTCCATGGGGGCGCAGTGGTTAGGATGCAGCATTCATCCTTTCCAACAAAGATGATCAGGGGACTGGAGGCTAAAACATATAAAGAATGGTTGCTGGAATTGGGTATGTCTAGTTTAATGAAAAGAAGGACTAGGAATGACATGATAGCAGTGCTCCAATATTTCAGGGGTTGTCATGCTATTCAGGGGACTCAAGCTATTCTCCAAAGCACATGAAGGCAAGAAAGAAGCAATGGATGAAAACTAATCAAGGAGAGAACTACTTAGAACTAAGGAGAAATTTCCTGACATTGAGAACAATCAACCAGTAGAACAAATTGCCTCCAGAAGTTGTGAATGCTCCAGCACTGGAAGTTTTTAAGAAGAGATTGGACAACCATTGGTTGATCAGTCGGAACCTTGACATTTGTCTGAAATGGTACAGGGTTTCCTGCCTGAGCAGGGATTTGGACTAGAAGACCTCTAAGGTCCCTTCCAACTCTGTTATTCTATTCTGTATTGCATGCTGATTTTGCCCAGGGGCCAGGAGTTCGATCCTGACCTGTTCAAGGTTGACTCAGCCTTCCATCCTTCTGAGGTTGGTAAAACGAGGACCCAAATTGCTGGGGGCAATATGTTGACACTATGTAAAACACTTAGAGAGTGCTGTAAAGCACTATGAAGCGGTCTATAAGTCTAAGTGCTATTGCTACTGCTATTCCATCTTGTTCTGTTTCAGATAATGACAATCTGTTTCATTCTGTTCTATCTGAGGGCCTAGATCAGAAATGAGGACGAAGTTGCTATTCCAAGGATAGTGCCACCTTTGGTCTTGGATGGGGTGGCACTACCCCAAACAGACCCTGTGCGTAATCTAGGGGTTTTCCCGGACTCATGACTCCTGCTCAAAGAGCAGGTGGTGGTTGTGGTCAGGAGGTTGTGCGCCAGTTACGCCCTTTCCTGGACCAATAGTCCCTACTCACAGTCACTCATGTCCTAATCACTTCCCGTCGTGAGCATTGCAAGACACTCTATGTGGGGCTGCCCTTGAAGAGCATCCAGAAGCTCCAGTTTATTTATTTATTTATTTATTAGTTTGATTTAAATGCCGCCCTTCTCTGGACACTCAGGGTGGCTTACAATACGTTAAACAATAGCCTTCACACTTTTGTATATACCTGCTTAGTTGGGCTTTCGGGCCCCCCCCCCCAAGCGGTGTTCTTTTTTATACAAAGTCAGCTTATTGCCCCCACAATCCGGGTCCTCATTTTACCTACCTCGGAAGGATGGAAGGCTGAGCCAACCTTGAGCCTGGTGAGATTTGAACTTGCAGTAATTGCAGGCAGCTGGCAACTAAGTGCTACTTTAACAGCACTTAGTCAGCTGCGCCACCAAAGCTCTTTTGGTGCAAAATGCAGTGGCCCGCATGGTTTTGTGCAGACCCCGGTGTGCACATGTATTGAATTCAATTCAAATCTTTATTGTCAGTGCACAACATACTGTATGTACAATGAGATTGAGGTTGAGCTCCCTCAGTGCACACACACCCCAGCACAATACAACTCACAGTGAAGACAGAAAATCCCTAACCCAATAAATCATATTAACAAAACAGTCCTATTGCACCAGTGTGAACATGTTAGACATTGCGCCGGCCCTGCAGTCAATCATGCTACATAGTTATGATGTTATTTCTCATTCAGGAGCCCACAGATAAAAATTGTTCATCAGCCTGTTTGTGCGGTTGGCTATACTTCTATATCTCCTTCCCGATGGTGGGAGGGTAAAGAAGTGGTGACCAGGGTGAGAGCCATCCCTGAGGATTTTCCTCATTCTTCTAAGGCAACGAGCCCTAGTGATCTCATCTAGTAGTATAAGGGGACAGCCTACGATGTTTTGTGCCGTACTCACCATCCTCTGTAATGTTTTTCTATCCATGGCTGTCAGACCAGCATGCCATACCGCAACGCTTTCTATTGTGGACCGGTAAAAGGAGGTCATCAGTTGTTGTTCCACCCTGTTTTTACGCAAGACCCTAAGGAAATGGAGTCTCTGTTGGGCCTTCCTGACCACCTGGATCGTGCTGTTTTTCCAGGTGAGGTCTTTGCTGAGATGGACACCCAGGAATTTAAAGGAGGAAACTCTCTCTACACAGCCCCCCTCAGTGTATAGTGGGGCGGGTTCCTCTCTCTTCCTCTGGAAATCCAACACCATCTCCTTGGCCTTGCTGATCTTCAGGTGCAGGTTGTTTTTTAAGCACCATGTGGAAAGTTTTTGAACCTCTCCCCCTGTACGCTGTTTCGTATCACCTCTCCTGTGAGAGCTGCACTGGTTGCTGATTTACTCCTGGGTGCAATTCAAGTTGCTGGTTGTCACCTTTAAAGCCCTTCATGGCTTGGGAGCAGGTTATCTGAGGGACTGTCTCTTGTCAGTCACATCTACCCGACCCATCAGAGCGGAGAGGCAGGGGAAGTTGTGGGTCCTATCCCAGAGGGAGATACACCTGGTGGGACCCAGAAGAAGGGCCTTCTTCATGGTGGCTCCCTCTCTCTGGAACATCTAATTCCCCCCCCCCAGAGGGCCCCCCACTCTAATACTCTTCTGGAAGGTACTGAAGACCTGGTTCTGCCAGCAGGCCCGGGGAACCCAGAGCGAGATGGAGTTCATTAAATGGGTCATGTGATCTGCTGTTGCCGGGGCAGGGGGTGGGAGGTGATTTTGTTATATTGTACTAGATTAATTTATTTGATTCTTTTTGTTAGGTTTTATTGTTTTAAATGTGGTCTTTTATTCTGTAATCCACCTTGAGTCACCATGGGCGAATAGGTGGCAATATAAATTCAATAAACAAATGAATAAATAAATCAGTTTAATACGAACATCTTCTTGCACCTAGACAAGAATATAATGTTTTAAATGCCACCAATGCCACTTCTAAGGCTCCAGGTTACACACAAGCCATCTCTTGGGATTTCTGGGTGACACAAAAAATTAGTGGATACCTGTGCACCTATGAAAATTTAATATCATTTCATTACAGGAGACCTGGTGCATGGATATGTCTTCTCCTTCCTTGCTAGGATTCTTCTCATATACCTTCCCTGTCATTAAAGTGAGTCTGTATGGAAGAGCAAGTGGGTTTTCAATTTTGATCTCAACTGATCTGAAAAGACTATACAACAAAGGCCAGATGATGATTGTATCCAGGTAGTATAGACAGAGAGCAAATATTTTGAGTTAATTATTTGCATTAATATTTATTTTCCAAATGGAAGGAATCCCAATCTATAGTTTAAGCTGTGGTCTGTGCAAACCCTGGTGGAGAAGTTGAGCAAATATTACCAATACCAATCTTCTCTGGGCTGGTGATTATAACACCAGAAGTGGCGATGATATCAGCATCTCTAGGAAGATATTGTGGAATAGACAACATCACCACCAGATGGATCTGTAACTGGATGACAAACCACATTCAAAGAGTAGTCCTTAATGGTACTACGTCCACATGGAGAGAAATAGTGGGGTACCATAAGGCTCCGTCTTAGGCCCAGGACTCTTCAATATCTTCATAAATGACTTAGATAAGGAAATAGAATGGGAACTCATCAAATTTGCAGATGACATTAAACTGGCAGGAATAGCCAACACCCCAGAAGACAAGCTCAGGATCCAAAAAGATATTGACAAACTTGAACAATGGGCCCTAGCCACCAAAATAAATTTCAATGTGGAGAAAAGCAAAGTTTTACATTTAGGCAGGAAAAATCAAAGGTATTAGGTGAGACCTCAAAAACAGTAACTTGGAGTCCTAGTGGATGATCGCTTAAATATGAGTCAGCAGTGTGCAGCAATGGCCAAAAAAGCTAATACAATTCTGGCATAGAATCAAGATCTAGTGAAATATTAGTACCAGTTTATAAAACCCTAGTAAGACCACACCTGAAATACTGCAACCAATTTTGGTCACCATACTACAAAAAAGATGTTGAGATCTTGGAAAAAGTTCAGAGAAGAGCAACTAAGACGATCAAAGGCCTGGAGACTAAACCATATGAAAAACGGCTGTAGGATTTGGGCTTGGCTAGTCTAAAGAAAAGAAGAATTAGGGGCGACATGCTAGCAGTATTCCAGTATTTGAGGGGATGCCACAAAGAGGAGGTCAAATTATTCTACAAAGCACCAGAGGGCAGGACAAGAAACAATGGTTGGAAACTAACCAAAGAGAGAATCTACCTGGAATTAAGGAGAAACGTTTTAACAGTGAGGACAATTAACTAATGGAATAGTTTGCCTTCAGAAATCGTGGGTGCTTCATCACTGGAAGTTTTAAAGAAGAAACTAAACAGCCACTTATCTGAAATAGTATAGATTCTCCTGCTTGAGCAGCCTCCAAAGTCCCTTCCAGCTCTATTCTATTCTAAATTCTATTCTAAAGTTCTATATTAGGAAGACGGAATGTTGCCCAGAGGATGAATGGGGCCTTGGTCCTCAATGGACACAGTACTAAACACACGAGCGGTGTCTTTATTGATTCTGTCTTTAGGTACAGGCTGTTAAATCTAGGCTGTAAGGTGGCAAACATTTCTAATAATCCTTCCTCTTCCTTCTTTCTCCACAACAACCCTGTGAGGTAACTTGGGTTGAGAGATTGACTGGCCCACAGTCACCCAGCATGTTTTCATGCCTGAAATGGGACTAGAACTCATAGTCTCCTGGTTTCTAGTCTGGTGTCCTAGACACTACAGCAAACTGGCTTCATGACTTGTGGTTATAGCAGAGCATTTAGTTACTCAATGCCTCCCAACGCTCCCAAAACATCCCTCTGCTCACACCCAAAGCAGCCCAATTGATTTGTCTCTAAGATAATGGGGGGGGGTCAAGCAAGCCCCCCCCCCCAGGTACTCTGGTGGGAAAGGACTGGCTCAAGGAGGAAAATGCTATTCTAACCTCAGTACAGCTAAGGAGGGCTTTAGTTCTCCCCCTCCTCAGCTGGAGACGACGTCCACCTGCTGGGATCAGGTCATGACTGAGGAATGCTAAATGTGAAAGTGGGGACAGAGCCATGGTCACCCAAGGGGTTACCCTTCAACGCCAGGAGGGATTTTCCTTTCTCCGGGGATCCCCGAGAGCTCCACAACAGGCATGTCTTCCTCCTCAGAAGAACCGGCACTGGACGACTCCACATCACTCTCAGCCAACAGGTCTACACGGGGTTTTATGCTGCAAGGAGAAGGAGACCAGGGTGAGAAGCTGGCAGCCTTTGCAAGATTTGTCCTTTTCAGTGCCATGGGGGTCAGGCTTACAGTCTGCACTGCGGTTTTAATTCCCTTTCCAGAGATTAAGAAGTGAATCCTAAGGACAGTAACCTACATATAGAATAAGAATAAAAAGGATTTGTTAACAGGGGGAGGAAATGGCTGGAGAATAGAACAGCTTCTTAAATAGCTCAGCAGGAGGTCAGTGAGTGCCCCATCACTGGAAGCATTAAAGAAGAGAATGGACAACCATTTGTCTGCAATGCTATAGACTAGACTAGAGTATCTTGCTTGAACAGGGGTTGGGCTAGAAAACCTGCAAGGTCCCTTCCAATACTGGTATTCTATGACATTCCCCATCTGAAAAGGCTGTATCTGAATCATCCTTCCTAGCTATTTTTTTTAAAATTTGATTTATATGCCGCCCTTCTCCGGAGACTCAGGGGGGCTTACAATGCGTTAAGCAATAGCCTTCATACTTTTGTATATTTATACAAAGTCAGCTTATTGCCCCCACAAACTGGGTCCTCAATTTACCTACCTTAGAAAGGATGGAAGGCTGAGTCAACCTTGAGCCTGGTGAGATTCGAACTTACAGTAATTGCAGACAGCTGGTGTTAATCACAATGCTATCAGTCTGCTGAGCCACCAGGCACCAGCTATCTTTTTCACATTTCCATATCAGAGACAGTTGGACAAAGGGGTGTCACACAAATCAGCTCTTGCATTCCTAATGCTCCAATCCACAAAATCTGATCTTCCATTTGATTACATTCTGGAGTCTTTCTTAGACTGAACAAATTGCCGGACAGATCTTGGTAAATAATGATCTGATGGAACAACTTTGGGGAGGCTGCCACTTAATCTAATTTTTCATACAGTGTCAGCAGAGGGGCTGGGTCAATAAGTCAAGATAGTGACCACGAACTGCACAATTGAAGCCCCGAAGCTTTTAACGTGCATCCCGCATGTAAAAGGTAGCCATCCAGGCAGATTATGGATCTTTCATTGAAATTGGTTTCCTTCCCTGAACTAGGGCGTCAATGCAAGGGTTTCCTAGCCTTCTGCAAATAAACAAGTAATTTGTGGAGAGTACAGCTTTAAGGAGGAAAAACAAGGCCCAGGAGAGGAGAAGCCTCTCTACTTATTTATTTATTTATTTATTTATTTATTTGTTCAACTTGTATGCCGCCTTTCTCCGAAGACTCAAGGCAGTTTACAATGCATTTAAAAACCATATATAAAAACATTAAAAATTAAAACATTAAAAACAATTAAAACCCATTCACGCCATTCATGGCCGGATCTCGCCAGATTGCAACAGCGAGGGTCAAAGAAAATTTCTTGATGATTCACCTTCTTTCTGAATTACAGAGAAAATAAGGAGGAAAATAATACTTTTAAAAGACTATAAAACAACAGCAAAGAAAAGTTTAACCAAGATTTTGATGAAGAAAGTTTCAAATGGATAAAGGGAATTGTATTAATTTGAAAGATAAAGATTTTGGTGAATGTGCTTTTAGTATTAGGTGAATTAAATAAACACACTAGATCTTTCTGGGAATGTTGATTGTCTGACCTTTAGAGTGAAAAAATAATGGTGGAATTTTTCAAAACAATGAGATAAATATAACAGAAGATGGTCTCATCAAAACTAGAAAAAGACAGAATGGGCTAAGGATATAAAGAGAAAGAATGAGAGGAAAAAGAATTCTGACTTTTATCATCAGCTTTATAACTGATTTACTTTTACTTTTAGATTATAAGTAAAAAATGGCGATTCCAGAAACAAAGGAAGAAGAGATTCATTAGAGCAATTGCCAGAAAAGGAAATTACTCCAGAAAAATTAGAAGAATTGCTTGAGAAAGCAGATACTTGACTTTGTTAAATGTGTTAAAAGCCGGTAAGGCGTATTTGAAGAGAATGAAAAAAAGCTGCATGCCACAGGCCCCGCCATGCACCACTTTCCTCCCAGTGTTGACAAGATGCGGCTGGCCTGGCCCTGCGCGAGGCAACGGGTGGCGGTGCCAGGCCTTCTACCGAGGCCACTTGCCCTGTTCTTGGGATGCTTCGGAAGGCTGTTTGGAGAACGACAGGAATTATTTGGTGAACACCTGAGCAGCCTCGGGATGAAGGTTCACGGAGGGCAAGGCCAGGCGCCTTGTCAGCAGCAGAAGGAAGATGGCGAAGGGCCTTGGAGTGGCAGGGCCAGTGGAGCACAGGGCAGCTGGGGTTTTGCACTGTGACAGCTTTTTTATACATGTAGCCGGGTGGCAGCTTCATGCCATACTGCTGGGCACATGTGTGCTGCAGTGCTGCGTGGTAGCTTTGTACTGAGGCTTCCTGGGGCAAGTGGGGTGCTGGCTTTGCACCAAATTGCATGCGGCTCAGGGACTCCACTGTGCCAAGAAGCCTGAGAGTGGCAAGCAGCCCCGGATCCGCCCAGTAGGGCAGCCAAAGGGGGGAGGAGATAGGCAGAGTGGGGGGATTGAAGAGCAGACAGCCCCTTTCCTTATCGAGACTCAAGATTCGGAGCTGGGATGGACCAAGCTCAGAATGGCTTGGATTGGGGTGGAGACCCGCAATTATCGGTTAACAATGTCAACGGGAAGCTGTTGCTAAGCAATGTGGTCACATGATATCTCACATCACTTAAGTGACAGAAATTCTAGGCTCAATACGTTAAGGTGAATATAGATTTTAAGAATCATTGAACAGGTAGTCCTTGACTTACAACAGCTCATTTAGTGACTGTTCAAAGTTACATTGGCACTGAAAAAAGTGACTTATGACCATTTTTCACACTTATGACCATTGCAGTATCTGTGTGGTCACGTGATCAAAATTCAGATGCTTGGCAACTGACTAATATTTATGATGGTTACAGTGTCCTGGGGTAACATGGTCCCCTTTTGTGACCTTCTGACAAGCAAAGTCAATGGGGAAGTAGCTTCACTTAACAACCGTGCTACTAACTTAACAACCGCAGTGATTCATTTAACAATGGCAGCAAGAAAGGTGGCAAAATGGGGCAAAACTCAATAACTGTCTTTCTTAGCAACAGAAATTTTGGGCTCAATTGTGTCGAGGGCTACCTGAGCAGCAGAAGACGGAAGTTGAAATTGAACTAAATGATGAACATGTAATTACTAAAACATAAACACTTTTGAAATTTGAAATGGAAGAAGTAGAAGACTATATGGTAAAATGGGCTAAGTACTTTGGACCTGGTATACTGATGGAACAAAGGGAAAATATGTGATTACAAAGTTTGAAAATTACATTATATTATAACTTAAAAGAGAATTTTTGTAAAATGATGTTCTGTTGGTATATGACCCCAGAAAAATTGTTTAGAATGTATAAAGATACTTCAATTTATGCTGGAAATGTGGACAACATGAATGGTCATTTTACATGCTTAGTGTACTTATAAAAAATCCAGAAGTTTCTGGGTTCAAATACATGTGATGATTCGAAGAATTTTAAAGATCAACACTCAACTGAAATCAGAACTGTTCTTGCTGGAATTAATGGGCAATCAATTAGAAAAGAGTCATGGAGGAATATTTTTACATATGATTTCTTGTGCCAGACGATAAGTACAAAAATGGAAACATTCCAAAATATCCATGACGGAGTTTGGTGAAAGTAACAGAAATAGTAGAGATAGAAAAAATAACTTCTTTGATAGGCAAAAGATCAACAATTACTTTATGCCTTATGGACTTTTTGCTGAAAAAAGAGAAAAGGGAACTTGATTCACAGATTTGAAGATTAGAAAGGGGAGCTTATGGAAAGAAGGAAATTATGATCTAACTTCAGATAGAGAAGGTAACATATAAATGCATTTATAACCACTGTCAAAAAGATCAAACCTGCCTTTTTATAAATTGCTCTAATGTAATCTAATATTTTTTCTTCTGTTTTTTCTTTTTCTATTTTTTCTTATTATTCGCTATTATTCCTTTTTTTGTTTATTCTCTTCTAATATTTCTATTGTTTTTATTTTGTTAAAAATTCTTCAATAAAAATTATATTTAAAAATTAAAAAAAATAACAAAACAAACTTTCTCTTATAGCTGGTTGTTCCAGGAAAGAATGCGAAGACAGATAGTACCATAAAGATCTCAGGGCAGGGGACAGTAAAGCTCTTTCTGTATTCTAGGGAGTTTCTTAAAGGAGGATGGCATCTGTCCTAGGAGCTCAGCTGGCAGCTAAAAAAAGGGCCCAAGAAGTCTCACCCTTTTCTGTCCTTATCTGCTTTCCCGTTTTCCTCCTCCAGGTCTTCTTTGCCTAATTTATACAAGTTCATCTTGGTCTCCAGGGTCATCTTCAGAGTTCCTTGATAGGTCACTTCCATATCCACCCAAAGGCCTGCAGAGCCGAAAAGAAGGCCAAAGGAGAATGACAGGTTACGGTTTGGCTTCTGGGATTTGATCTGGTGCCAGCTGGGCTGGATTATATACAAAATGCATATGGTTTGTTGTAGAACAGTGTTTCTTAAACCTTTTCTTTCTCAGGACCCTTTCCCACATTTGAAAAATATGGAGAACCCCCAAAAGACCTTCTGTTTGTATGGGTTATATTTATCAATATTTACTATATTAAAAATTAAAATTGGCACATTCTTTGCTGCTACCACTTTTCAAAATTGTTTGATGATATTTTAATAGTGTATTATTTTTCAACATAGGCTGACAAATAGTTTTGATTTTAGAAGGTCTTAGGGGATCCCAGGGGATCTAGGAACACACTTTAAGAAACACTGCTCTAGAAAAATGGCTGGTGGAAAGAGGACGATCATTCCTGGTTGATGAACTACTTGAAGAATAGATCATGGATTATGGCTCTACTCCGAACTCAGAAAATCCCTACTGTAGTTCTGTCCTCCCTTCTCTGGTTGAACATGTAAGGTCACCTAAGGCTGGCACATCTCCTGTCCTCCAAAGCAGATGGCTGACTTCACATACCAATTTAGGCCCTATGCTTGCTCTACTTTAACTCTGCCATTGTTATTTGTAACCATGACTCGGTATACTATAGTTTTATTCCTTAAATTATGGCTAAATAAACCATGGCTAATAATAATGTGTAAACCCACCTAATGGTAGGCTATGTGAAACATTGCCCTGTTAAACATGTTTCATGTTTAACTCAAGTATTTTTATTTTGTTTTGGTATAGACCTTAACATATGGACAGAGGCATTCACAGGGAGCATGTGACATCATGATATTCTTGGAGAAATTATGCAGACTGACATGATGATATATGGATGGTATCATTCTGGCTTTGATGTCTGTGTGCATAGAGGCAAGAAACCATCCTCCCACAGGACCAGTTATTCCAAATCCTGAAGTGGCTGCTTTTGCTGAAGGAATATAGCATATCCAGGCTGGTCCTTTCTAGAGTCTGAATAATTCCTTGTTTTGTCAATCGGATTTCTTCTTTCAATTATCAATCTTTCCCGTCCACACCATGTCCCACTATTTCCAAGTATGCAAATATGGAACAGATAACTTGAAAAAACAAAGCTCCTTTCCAGAGGTGTCTGGAGGAAAGCTGCCAGTCCAGGCTGCTCCGTTTCCAAACATTCCAGGTGCACATGGGCCACAAGAAGACAGAAATGGGAATCGCAGGCTGGCTGGTCACCAAAACGTACCTCGGTTATCCACAGTGGGGCTAGAAGTGCCAAGTATGTGTGGGATGGAGGTCCCCATCTCCAGATCAGTTAGGGTGAGCTCATTCATGAAATATGGCAACTGCACCAGAGCAAAGGAAGAAGGAAACGAACCAACCATCAGGGAAAGTCAAAGAGAAGAAGAAAGTTGCTGTCAGGCTGGCATTCTTTACCAGTCAAGGTCAGGCCCCAAAGGCCACATGCAAACAAGAAAGCAAGATTCACAGAGTATCTCTGGGTTAGATTTCTTGCAAAGAAATTGGTGGGTAACACAATCTTGGAAACCAGATTTGTATATTTTACCTTCACTTATCAGAAAGAACATTAAGATGCCCTTCATGCCTTTGATCCTCTTTCTAACTGCCTCTTGACTTGAGGTGGAAAAGTTACTAACCATTTAAAAGAAAATACAAAAGAAATGTCCATCTATTCTTCTGTAGTCTTTCACAAATGTCCAGTCTCATTCCTAGAGCCAGCTAATTCTCTGATGGAATTAGAGAAGTGCACTGTGTCTCTAGTGCCTTGTTGTGGTCCACTAGGAACCAGGGTGAGGGGGGAGGGAGGAACTTTAGCTGAGAATGATACCGTATCAGCCAATCCATTTGCATCCAGTCTCTCTGGCTGCTTGGTCTAAATATGGTGAGACAGTCTGCAGCACTCAAAAATTAAACGTCTAGAAGAAAGTATTGGGTTTGCACGCTACGGTTTACTCAACTGATTTGGGGTGAGGAGGTTTGCATTATTTATAAAACCATAATCTAATAATGTGTGCTGAGTTAGTTGCATGACATTCTAGGCTGAAACGTGGTTGGTGAATTTGTGAGTGTGCTGTGGGAACGTAGGGTGAGGTACGTGCCTACGCAACATGTGGGATGAGCAAATCTGCTTCCAAATCTGCCTTTGGACCCAGGAAGCAATGCCTTCTGGGTATCTCAGCCGCCTTCCTGGACAGCAGGGCAGGACTGGGCAGGGTGTCTTTGCCCCCTGGAAGTTTACTCAAGAAGACAAGGGAAAGCAGCTTTTCTCACCTTGATTCTGCCCAGTTTCTTCTGAATTTTATCTGAAACTTGATCTGCCCAATATTTTTCCCTTAGGAAGTCCCAAAACATTCGGCCAAGCATTGCATTGACCCAAATTGTAGGGGGGTTGGGGGTCAGATTTTCATCTCCAGGGAACTGAAAAGAACAAAAGGGAAAGAAATCACTCATCTTACCGGACTATAATGGCCACATGTGCTGGGGAGATGTAACCACCCTTTAAAGTTCTCACTATGTAAATCAGGGGAATTGGCAAAAATAAGTGGGGGTGTTTAAGGACTGGGAAGCACAGCATACATAAAAACAAGAGTGGAGTTTCTGTTGCATAGCTATCACCATCATCTTACTATTTTTGACCCCCCGCCCCTTTTGCAAATGTCTCAGTGGTATTTTATTTTGTTGGTAAGATGGTATGTTTACCTTATGGGTCTGAAAGTTGGTATTCAGAATATTTTAGCAAAATCTGAATACTTGGGGATGGTACCATCAGCTTTAATTTTTCAGCAAATGGAATGTCACACACCTTACCAGCATCCATAAACTCAGTGCAGCATGTCTCTCTTGTCTTATCAAAAAAATAAAGATTTTTAAAGTTATTTTGTAAGACTGAAGATCTGAGGACATAAAATGGGGAGTTTTGGAGGAACAATTTTGGCTGAAGCAGAGAATAAACAACTTCTAAATAGCAAAGAATAATAGGTATCTTACAAAATGTCCAAGATAAATTCTGAATAATCAAAGCTCATTGATCACATTAGACCATTTTTTGTTCAATTTTTTAAAAAGGAGCTTTGAAAAACAATTCCTAATCTTTAAATTGCATTTGATACATTTTTTAAAAATACAATGTTTAATTTGTTCAATTTTATACACATATAAAGTCCTTGTTTAACAACTGCCTCATTCAGTGACTGTTCGCGGTTACAACAGTGATGAAAAAGTAACTTTGCAACCAATCCTTTGTAAGATCAAACTCACAGTTGCAGTTTCACTTAGTAACTGCTTTTCCTGGGATTTCAGCAAGATTTCCTCACCTTTTTGGAACCAGGGCTGTCTGCTGTATTGGAGCAGGACTTTGGGTCGGAGTCAGTAACTACTGGAATGATTTGGGACATGTACACATTGTAATCCAATAAGAGTTTTTCTCGGCTACTGATGCTCAGCTCCTTGGGCTTAGTGGCAGGGAACAGGTCTTCCGTGCTGCCGCTGCTGTGATTGTGGATCTCCTTTCCTGCAGGAATGGGCTGGATTATACCTGAGCAATAGAAGGAAGGGTTGCTATAACAGATAATGACGAGACGGGTCAGGACTGGGAGTGCAGCAATATCAATGTCATGAAATTTGGGGCTGTTTGAGGAAACAACAGGGGTAGTTGCTGATGCCCAGAATTTGCTGTCCTTTAACAGGAGCTTTTAGTGATAAGGGTTTTGTTTCTGATGAAAATCATTCCAATTGGGTTTAAGTGAGAAACCCCTCAGCAGGTTCTAATCCAACTTGGTCCTCAATGTTATTTTCTTCCTTAAAAAATCAATCTTACACTTGCTAACTGAAGAAACACCTGCTTGGCTCAAGTGAGACTGTAAGAAGCTTGCCTTTTCTTTATCTACAGGGTGCAGAAGAAGACAGCATCTGCAGGGGGAGTCAAAAAAGTCAAAACCTTTTTTCTCACCCCCACCCAGGTGGATGCTCTAGCATTGCAAGCATTACCCTCGGTCTTAAAATGGTATCCCCTGTGCCCAGGATAGATGTGGCAACAAAGAACTGGATTGGACTGGGATTGGATTGGGTCAAGACAAAAACAGATGCCATTCAATTTAAGTATACAAAACATTATTTCATCCCAGGATTTCCTCATTCTGTTTCTGAAAATTAAGTGGCAATCAATTCAAGGAACCCTGGGAGTTGGACCCATGGTTCCCAGCCTGCTTTACCTGAGAGGAGTTCACCTTGGCTGGTGTGGTGTAGCTCACGGTGTTCAGCTTGGCAGGCCCTTGCAAGATATTGATACCACTCTTCCTTATCCCTACCCGTTCTGCCAAAGAGATAAAGTGTCCTTTCTTGGGCCTCATCTTGGCATTGCCCTGATACTTCTTTCTTCTTTGGGTTCTCCTCTCCTGGAGAGTCCACATCTTGGTCTTTTGTTGCTAGTGCTTTGATCTTCAGATCCACTTCTGGGAAAAGAATGCATATGGGATATTTTTTGTTCCACATCCTTTTGCGAGCCAGCCCAGATGGGAAGAGGAAGACCTGAAAAATAACAGACAATTTAAACAAGAGACAAGAGGATCACGTCACTTGAATGACTTGAATTACAATAGCAACGCCATTGCATGACCTGACAATCCTCTCAAGGAGTCCTATGTGTTCAATCCTGGTGTTTGAGTCCCATGAAACCTTGCCTTAGAATGCCCAAATCTTGTGATCTCATAGTAAGAATGATTATCCTAAGACATCTCCCATAAAGTTTCCCAAATCTCACAAGAATGAATCACTCAATGATAAATGGTTCTGGCTGAGAAATGATTCTCAGCCATTTCAATTTTAACTTCCTTCTGAGACAGTTTTGTGGGGTAGTAGCTGCCTAATCATCCTATTTTATAAGTAATAAACTAAAAATTTGTTTAAGAAGTTAGTATGACTGCCAAGAGGCAAAGGCAAAGGCAAAAGAAATGCTGATAATGTGGAGCACTTTGTTGTGGTGCGCCAATTTAAATTAAATGATCTTCCTTTTGACTGAATATCTTTTTAAAAACCCAGGGTCCAGTTTGAATCAATACAGTAGGAAGAGAAGGACTTTAAACCCTTCTGGATCACACTAGAAGAAAGGCTTCATTTGCAGAAAGGAATGGGAGCTCTTCCCGTAGGGTCTCAAATACCCCCAATTTATCTAAGAGGCATCTCTTAGACCAGTGATAGCTAACCTTTTTGCCATCATGTGCCAAAAGCAGGGGGAGCGGGGGGGTCACGCATGCACGTGCCCACACCCATCATTCAATGTACCATGCTCCCCTGCGCATGCATGCACAACCCCCCCCCCATGCTCCCTCCGCTTTTGGCACGCGATGGCCCGGTGGGCCCGGTAGGCCCGTTTTTCACCCTCCCCAGGCTCCAGAGCCTTTCTAGGAGCCTGGGGAGGGCAAAAATGGCCTTCCCCATCCCTGGAGGCCCTCCGGAGGCTGGAAACAGCCTGTTTCCCAACTTCCGGTGGGCCCAGAAGGCCCAAAAATCAGCTGGCCGGCGTACACATGCGTGCCGGAGATGAGCTAGGGCAACGCTCGCATGCCCACCAATATGGCTCCGCGTGCCATCGGTGGCACACGTGCCATAGGTCTTAGACTGAACCATATCTGCAGATGGAAGAATGAAAGGATGAACGCTCTCCTGGCCTCCACCAAATTTCAAATCTGTACTTACTACACACACCCACCACCCCATCAGATACGTTATTGATGAATCTTACCTTGGCTCCACTCATATCATAAAGTCGGTGGGTCACAAAAGCCACCTCAAAGTTCTCTTCACCAAAGGTGGCTCGCCGAGGGATGCTGCTTTGGGGATAAGATAATGTCAGGTTGGAGTTTTCTAAGGTCACAAATACGGAATGGGTCAGAGAAGGATGATAAATCTCAGGATCATAAAAATGCATTTCATTCATCCAACCCTGGAAAAGAAGAATTCATTTTAGTAAGGGAATGTTCAAAAGAAGAATAAAAAGATATATGTCATCATTCTGCTTGATATTATTTATTGACCTCGATTTGCTGGAATAAAAGAAAGTATTTCTTCAAAGAGAAAGGTGGGCAACCTGAAATTCTGGATTCTGAAAAAACACCTCAAAGCTCTTTTCTCCATTCCCTGTCCTCTTTCTGACAACTGCAGAAGCCAGGTATGTATGCTCCTGCCATACTGATAAAAGAACACATTATAATGTACCTCTGTATGTACAGAGCCACCACATGGTTACCTACCTCCACATTAAAGTAAGTGTTGCATGAAAAATGTCCCAGAGAAATTTGCCTGCTTTTCCTAACAATATAATGAAAGAGAATCTGCTTCCTACATTTCGGTCTGAATGTCTTGATTCGCATTCCATCATTGCTTCTCCATCTCCTTGCTATCCACATTTCCTAATCTGTTGTCTTCTTCGGGATTTAATGAAGGTACCCTCAAATTATTGCAATCAAAGCTTGGAAGTGCTAGAAAGCTATACACTGTTCAAATGAAAAGAACCAATTAAAAAAAAAAGGGGGGGAAGAATTGCATTGTATGTAAAGAATTACCGTATTTTTCGCACTATAAGACCCACTGGATCATAAGACGCACATTAGCTTTAGAGGGGGAAAACAAGAAAAAAGAATTCTAATTCTGTCTCCCAGCATCAATCCAGTATTCATCTAATTAGCATCCGTGCAGCAAACAGCAAAGAGCCTGGTCAGCTTCAGCTTATTGCAGCCCCAGCATGCGGCTCGTCAGTGCTCTGCTCTGAGTGGAGCTGCTGCCGCCGGCAAAAAACACTGGAGCCTTCACTGCCAAGCAGCTGATGGGCAGTTGGATCAGCCTCCTGGAATACTGCCGATCAGCTGTTCTAGGCAGCAGGGATTGCTGTCACTGCCAATTGCCGCTGTTTGCTATTGCTGCTTGCTGCTGCTACAGTTCGCCACCTATCATTGCTGTTTGCTGCCACCGCTGTTTGCCACCGCCATTCGCCATCTATCCAATCCCTGCTGCCTAGAACAGTTGATCGACGGTATTTCAGGAGACTGATCTCAACCACCAATCAGCTGCTCAGCAGCGAAAGCTCGAGTGTTTCCTGATGGCGGCGAATGGCAGCAGCAGTGACAGTGGCAAACAATGACTCTGCACCAACTCCTCTCCCCCCACCACAATATTCGCTCTATAAGATGCACAGACATTTCTATCCACTTTTTTGGGGGGGGGGGGGAGTGCATTTTATAGTGCGAAAAATACGGTACAATACCTGTAGAGAAATATACAATACTAGAAAAGAAAGCCTTCTTGAAACTATTTGAGTGGATATTAGAGGAAAAAGAAACAATATTGCTCTAGGTCTTTACCACAGGCCACCTAGCCAAGAGAAGGAAATAAATGAACTCCTTGATAGTCAGTTAACTAATGAGTGCAGGAAACACACCATTGTAATAATGGGGGACTTTAACTACCCCAACATCAACTGGGAAACAAATTCTGCAGTGAGTGGGAAATAGAACAGGTTTCTGATGTTCCTGGCTGACAACTTTGTCACCCAAAAGATGGAGGTGAGAACTAGAGAGTGAGCTATACTGGACTTAAATCTTACTAATAGGGATGAAATGATTGAGGGAGTTTGCAGGAATGACCATGTCATACTAGAATTTGTCATAATGCAGGCACAGGTGACTGAACAAAGTCACACTAGTGTTTTAGACTTTAAGACGGCCAACTTCAACAACTAAAAGAAAAAATAGGAAGGATTCCATGGATGGAAATCTTAGGGGAAAAAACAGTTCAAGAGCCATGGTGGCCCAGTGGTTAGAATGCAGTACTGCAGGCTAACTCACTGCCCACTCCAGGAATTCGATTCTGAGCGGCTCACGGTTGGCTCAGCCTTCCATCCTTCCGAGGTTGGTAAAATGAGGGCCCAGGTTGTTGGGGGCAATAGGCTGACTCTATAAACTGCTTAGAGAGGGCTGGAAAGCACTGTGAAGCGGTATATAAGTCTAAGTGCTATTGCTATTTATTTATTTATTTATTTAATTGAATTTATTTGCTGCTCATCTTGTTGCAAATGACTCTGGGTGTCTGAGGTGGCATAGCATGCATGGGAAACTTGAAAAATGAAATACTAAAAGCGAAAACAAAAACAATAGCACAGAGAAAGAAAAACAACAGACCAGACAAGACCAGCATGGTTACAGAAAGAGCTCGCTGACAAGAAGGGCAAGTATAAAAATAGAAACAGGGTCAAATAATTAAAACAGGTGTTCAAGAAAAAACTGGACAGCCATTTGTATGGGATGCAATAAGGTATCTTGCCTTAGGCAGGGGGTTGGACTGGAAGACCTCAGAAGTCCCTTTCAGCCCTATGATCCCATGATTCTATGAAATAATCTCTATCCTGTTTCGAAACAGGCCCTCCACTTCCTTCCCATTAAAAAAAAATGATTCCACACACAAAAAATGGATGGTCCCAATCCCGAGAGCCTTCTGTACAGTTGTGAAAAGCAGATTCTTCCCATCAGGTATTAGGTTGGGAAGCAAGCTCAATCCATCCAGAATGAAAGGTTTTACAGAGTATTATATTAGGATTTGGCCTCAGTTATTTAGTTATCCTTCTATTTTGCTATTCTGTCAGTCTAACTTTGGTTCTCAATGTTTCTTGTGGTTGTTTTTCTTGTGGTTACTTTTTTATGCTTCTATCCAACCTGCTCAGAGCTGTTTTTGCAAGTTAGGTGTCGCACACCAAAGCTGCAATAAACTTGTGGTATATTCCCCTTCTTCTGCCTCTCTATAGCCCTGGCGTAACCTGGGGCAGAGTCCACCAATCCAAGGGCCTTGGGCTAGATTGGACAATAATTCCCATTATCCCAAGCTTTGGTGTCCTGCCCACCATCAGCTTAAATACCTACAAGTACACATCAAAGAGAACTTGCTCAGGAAGGCTGTAGCTGCAGTGGTTGCATGACGGGAAATGCAGTTTGTGCCAATTATGTCAAACAGACAATTTGCTCTTTTGGCTGATGGAATTCAGCTTTCCCACTGAAGGATTGTTGCTGGTCAGGGAGGAAAGTCCTACAGAGAGCTATCAAATAACAACAAAGTGTTATTTGCTATTTATTGGGATTCTATGCATCAATTAGGGTTTATTGTCAGAATTTTCCAAGGGAACCCTCATCCAGTCTTGCTTCAATCTCTAGCACCATTAAAATTAAATGTTCTAAATTTTAAACACCTTTCATTTTTCTTTTCCTTTTTCCACCTTAAAGCTGAATAATTACAAATAATTTATCTCCATGATACATTTCAAGGCCTTCCAAGTGTTGAGGAATGCTGTGGCTCGAATATTGGCATGCTGGACGTCAGGGGACAATGGGAAAGGGACACTAGTGAGTGTCCAACAGGCTATACAAGTAGCCTTCACTTTGTGACCACAGTTGGGACTGGCAACTGCCGTTAAATGACACAATTGCTAAGGAGGCATCAAATGACTCCAATTCACAATTTTATTGCTGACTTCTCCATGGACTCTGCTTGTGGGAAGCTAGCTATAAAGCACACAAATAGTGACTGATCATATGACCGTGTGACACTGCAATTGTCATAAATACGAGGACTGGTTATATTTTCAGCACCATTGTAACTTTGGCAGTTCACTAAACAGATCAGTTGTTAAACACGGTCTGCCTGAATTTGCTTTCTTGAAAAAGCTCAGCCTTCTATCATCGTATCCCTTTTCCTGTATAATTAAAGAGTCTGTTTTCTAAAGAAAAGAAGCAAGTTCAGCTCTGGGCTTCCTCCCACTGATCCCATAGGGGGCACCAGTGACCCCACCCTACCTTGAGCACATGGAGGTCCCATGGCTGTTGAGGGATCACTTGCAAGGGCAGCATGCCCTGAGGAGGGGGTCTTTTCTGTGGGGACAGGGCACGCTTCGGCACCAGCAATAAAATAACCAGGAGACCAAGAAGGAACCCGCAGGCTAAGCCAAGGCAGAGGCCGGAGATATAAGGAGGCAATGGGAGGACCAGGTAATTGTAGGCCAAGATGGCAATCCAGGTGAGAACTTTACATGGCACTGGGCTGCAGCACTTGGGGGGCTGGACTGCCCCAAGAGGCAAGAGAGTCTGCATTTCGCCTGTGGCCTTGCTTTTTTTCTCAGTTGTGTCAGCCTCCTGGAAGACATCCCCATAGGGGCCCACTTCATGCTGGCAATGTGGAGAGGAGCCCCACTTCCGCTCTTCCATTTCCCCTCTCCCCAATGAAATGGTCTCAGTCCAATCTGTCTCATGGAGGGGAGGTTCCAAATTGCTCTCCAAGATGGGAGAGCCCTTGAAATGATGAGAAAGGAAATCAGCACCTTGCTGGTGCCCGGAGAGGGGTAATCGAAGCTTGGGGGACACATTATTTTCATCCCCAATGATTTTGCTGAGCCTGCTGAGTGGCTCCTGCATGGCTTCTGAAAACCTCCTTCTGGTGTCTTCAAACTTGGCTTCCTGAGCCTTGAAGAAGCTGCCCTTGTTCTCTGAAGGAGAATGGTTGGGAGATGATGGAGCAGTCCTGGAATCGCCATTTTTGTTCCTGGGCTGGGTGATTTGTCGCCAGAGATGAACGTTGAGTTTAGAGTCTGATTTGGACAGCGTCACCTCGGGCTCCAAGCGAGAAATTTCAGTGGAAATGGATTTGACCAAGCTCAACAAAGGCTGGGGTTTGAGAGATGGGCTTTCCCGAGGCTCAATTTCAGTTGACAGGGATTTCACCAAGTTGATTAAGGGTTTGGGGTTGTGTGAGTTTTCCAAGCCAGTTGATCTCTGAGATGCTGAGTGAGTTGGAGACAGGGAGTGAGAAATAGGGAGTGCAGGTGAGAAATCTGATTCAAGAGGAAACAGAGGAGAGGATGATCCACAGAAGGTAGGCTCTTGGCAATCATCTTCCTGAAAGAAAAAACTGTTGGCTGAGTTTGGAGCTGGAGCTTCCTCATCATCTAAGGCAAAGATCAGCTCATTTCCATATGTATCTTCCCACACGATATCCTTTCCAGACTCAGCAGCTGAGCAATGGCTTAACCTTTGGGGAGGATGGCATATTTCTTCCCAGGGAGGGCAAGAAATATTTGCTGTAGAAGGATCTGAAGGCATCTGAGGATGGTCAGTCATCTTTCACATCCTCCCTGGGACTGAGCCTATGGAATAGGAACAAATACAGATGCTGAGAAACCTTAAATTCCAACCTAAATTCCTTCAAAGCAGCCATTTAGTCATTCATTCATCTTGTTCATGTTGACCCTTCACATCCCAAAGTAATACTTGTGATGCCATTCAGCCCACAGATAAGCTCTTATCTAGAAATTCCGAGGTTCCATGAAGAGAGAGAAAGAACAGCTGACTTCCATCTATATAATTTTAAGCCCAGAATTTCTAACCACAATTTGTTGAACTGCAATAGCCTGGTATTGCATATAATGCTTAGCCATCCACAGGCATATCCCAAACTCTATTAAGTTAAAAAAAAAAAAAGAACTTTATTGCTCCTTATCACATAAATCAGTCTTACTTACTTGCTTTCAAAATTAGATCTGAAAAAATTATTTAACAACCAATCCTGCACCCCCAGTTTTGAGGAGTAATGGCTGCTTAACCAATAATTCTGGTCTGACACAATAATATGGTTAAAGTAGGCTGATCTGTAATACAGGCAGCCCTTGACTTACAACTGCAATTAAGCCCAGAATTTATGTTGCTAGGTGAGAAATTTGTTAAGTGAGTTTTGCCTCATTTTATGACTTTTCTTGCCATATTTGTTAAGTGAATTACTGCAGTTGTTAAATTAGTAATGTTGTCTCTAGGGATTAGAGACATTTAACAATTACATTTACTTTGAGGACACACAAAGGCTTTCACACACATATACACACAAAGACAAGGAAAAGAGAAAAGAAAAAAGAAAAAAGGGAAAACGGGACTCTCCGGTTTACACACCTTGGTCATCACTCTCACCATAAATCTCAGATAATCTAAATTAGGAAAGGCAAAAATCTAGAAGGGTAGAAAGATCAATGTCACTATATTTTTTCTTTTCTTTTAAGTATCTTTATTTAGCCAAACTGTTTTTTTCAGCTTCGTCACTGAGCAGTGTCCGTTCCTCACACAACCTGCACATGTGCCTTTCCTTCATCCTTGCCTGGATGAGCAATTTTTCCTGATTCCAAATTTCTGTCTCCCAAGTGGAGATCTCGGTGGGAACCTTGACTCTGAGCTCCCCATATGTAGGCTGCTCTTCCCACTGTCCCCAATGAGACTCCAAGGTTTCTTTCCTGGGTCTCTTGCAACCCACAGATTTACTCTGCACCACGAGGTGAAGGTACCTTTCAGCCTGCGGTCTGCTGCCCTGGGTTTTCAGGCAAGTGGCCTGGGAGGACTCCGTCCACCTACATTAATCAGAGTACGAGCCCCTCCTTTTCTGATTAGGACTCTGCCCAGTGATTCCCTGCTGGCTGCCCAGGGGTGACCTTCTCACTCCTCAGTTTCCTTTTTCACAAAGTCTCTCTTTTCTCTAACAGAAGATCCTGCACTCTGGCTAAAGCCCCTTGCTTTTCAGAGTCTGTAGGTCATGGTCCTTTGGGACTACCAAACAGTCTGGGGGCGGTTAGAAAAGGCATGGAGGCAGCCGGATCCAGCTGTGATTGGGAGAAGGTCCTCTTGCTCTCACACAGGCATACACACATTTCCCTCGCTCTCCTGAGCTTCAAAAGTTAAAATATACCCACCTCATTTTTTTCCTTTTTAAAATCTTTTGCTTTTCCCAATTTTCCAAATCCAAGACTTTCTCTTAGATTCTTTATATTACAGTCCACACCTTCTCTTTGTTCCACATGTATTTTCCCCCCAAATGCCAAATAGCTGATAGTCAAAGCTCAGAAAGTCTTTTAAAACTTCAATTTCGATTTTTCTTAGTATAAATTGGCATTTATCTCACCCAGTTCTAGCACTCCGTCCAATTGCCACTCCTGCACAATTATTTGGTTCGATTGTCCCAGCTTCAAGGTGGCCACAAGATGTCCGCCACCCCCGATGCCACCTTGGGAGAGCTGTTTCTGTTCCAGCAAGGAAATTGCCAATTCCTTGCGGTCCATGAAACACTTCTCCTTTCTTCACTGTCCCTACAAGACAGCTATGGCTCGAAAGCCTCCCAGCAGGGGTTCATCCAACTGGATTTCGCACAGCTCATCAGAGCCCACTATTTTCCAGTCTGTTCCCACTGCAATGTCAACTGGAAGTCTCTTTCTCGCTCCTTCTCTTCCCCCATCTTTCCCTCCCTCTCTTTCTCTCCCCCCTCCCTTTCTATCTCTCTCTCTATATCTTTCTGTCTCTTTCTCTTCCCCCCCTTTTTTTCTTTTTCTTTCTTTCTGTTATCTCTCTCTCTTTCATTCTCTTTCTCTCTCTCTCTCCCCCCTCCCTCTCCCCCATTCCCCAACCACACTCCCCAACCCACACACCCAGGGAATAACTGTAAGGAAAGTGATGGTGAAAGAGAAGAATTTTGGGGATTGAGAGTTTTGCAGAGTTTGAATGCGAATAAGATTTTTTGTTTCTGTGCTTACATCCACTCCAGATTTTCTCTCATGAATAAGAGGGAAACAAACAGCCAAAAACGGATCATTTGCCGCAAAGTTATAGTATAATTCTGAGGGGTGAAATTTCCTGATTTCTTTGCATGCATTTCAGCATCAACATGCATTTTTTTCACCTCAAAATATTCTATACATTTGCACCAGGTTTTATGGCTTGAGAATAAGTACAAAATTCTAGCTTCAGAAGTTTACTTCTGGCAGCCTGGGAGATGTATTTAATTTGATTCTAATGGAAGTGTAAGTTACCTGGTATTGTTTTAAAACATGTATCTCAATAAGCACAGTGATTTGTTAAGGAAAGGAACTAGAGTCTGAGGATGATCAGTTTTTAATTTGAATGTTGTTGTTGTTGTTGATGATGATGATATGATGATGATGATGATGATGATGATGATGATGATGATAATAATAATAATAATAATAATAATAATAATAATAATAATAATAATAATAATACTCGGCCTCTCTGAGATCGGCAACAAGACAACCAAGGAATATTCATTCCGAAAATCTTTTAGCAGAATATGAATTTAACTGACATATCCATTTAGAAGGTCATCGTGGACACAACAATCACAGTTCCCACTCCTCAAAAAGTTAGCATATTCCAGACACAGCTTAGGAAGCTGAAATGTTTCCTGCTCACGAAAGCTGAAAATATAAGGTGTAGCGTCACCTTTTCTACCACTTTGCAGCCTTCTCAGTATAAAGACCAAAGTTAAAAGGATTGAAAAATTTATGTCATTCTCAAATTAAATCAGTGAAATGGGAAATTAAATCCTGTGCAATTGGGGAAGCTTCTGAAAATCTTTGGATCTTGCAAAAGATATGGCACTTACTTATTTAATTATTTATTTACTACCTTTATTATTTTTACAAATAACTCAAGGCAGCAAATATATTATTATTATTATTATTTATTATATTATTATACTGCCCTTCTCCCGAAGGACTCATACACCGAAGGTGTATATATCCCATACACCTTCCCCAAAACAACAAACCTGTGAGGTAAGTTGGGCTGAGAGCAAGTAACTGGCCCAAGGTCACCCAGCTGGCTTCCATGCGAAGGTGGGACTAGAATTCACGGTCTCCCACTTTCTACATTGGTGCCTTAACCACTAGATTTGGTGCTACCTTTGGGTGCAAGTTTTAAAATGAACGTCACAGCAAATGCTTTTGCTTTAAAAAAAAGAGGGTGAAGAGCAAATATTCTGAACTGAGAGGCAAGACAGAGGAGCTTCACAACTAGTTCCCCTTGACCGAAGAGCAAAATAGAATGAGGATCCACTCAGGTTTTTGTATGAGTATTTTTGTGCACATCAAAGGGTCAGAAAACTATTTTTTGAAAAAAGAAAATAAGGCTGGCTTGGCTATCATCTGTAGTTCTGATGCAAGCAGGGGAGATCCCTCTGGCTGCAGAGACCATCTCAATCAGAATAGAGCTGGAAGGGACCTTGGAGGTCTTCTAGTGCAACACCCCAGAAGACCTTATACCAGGGGTGTCAAACTCAAGGCCTTAAATCTGGCCTGCGGGGCCGGCCTGGAAATAGCAAAGGACTGGCCCGCAGTGCCTCTGGCAGCCGAAACAGGGCAAGGACGGGTGCAGGGAGCCCCCCCACCCCGTTTTGGCTGGCAAAGGGCTGCAGGAGGCATCCAGCCTGTCTCCCATCTCCCCCCCACCCACCCCAGCCCGCCCACGGAGAACTACAATGCTGATCTGGCTCTTGAAGAAATCCAGCTTGACACCCCTGTCCTATACCATTTCAGACATGTGATGGGTGTCCAGTCTCTTCTTAAAACTTCCAATGATGGAGTATCCATAACTTCTGGTGGCAGGCTGTTCCACTGGTTAATTGTCCTCACTGGTAGGAAGTTTCTCCTTAATTCCAGGTTGCTTCTCTCCTTGACTAGTTTCCATCCAGTTTCTTTTTTTGCCAAAAAGTTTTTTTATTTTTTTCCAAACATACAAATTACATCCTTTTGGAACAGAGCTTTGATCTGGTCATCACTTTGTTCAATTTTTAACAAAATCTTTAACAAAATTTTATCTATACTATTTTGCCATAGTACTTATTTCTAAATCTTATATCACATATTCAACTAATACCATCTTTAAAAAAATTAACACATATTTACTTAATCAAAACAATTACCCTATTAACCCACCTTAATTCTTAATTCAATTAATAACTCATAATACAACAATTCTTACCCTAAATCCTCACTATTAACAATACAATTCAAACATGATATTTATATATCATTATGCTCATCAAATCTTTATTCCATTATTACTTTATCAAATTTAAATCTTATTTTTAATTTTAGAAATATAGCAATTTAACATTTAAACAGTTCTTAGTTCAAATAATGCTTTTCAACACAATTTCCCAATTATCCTAAATTCTATCTATCAAACCATACCATTTATATAACACTAATTAAGTAATTTTTGTTTATAAATCATAATCATATTGTTTCAGTTTTCTTTTCTTTTTCACTTAGGTAATAAATGTTCAAATTATCACAAATGTTATACATATTTAAAC